CATCTGTAAATGTAAGTTTTCCAATGAGACTCATTATTTTCGGATTTTCAAAATGGTTTTTCAAGATTTCATTGTATTCCTGGTCATGGGGCAAGAAGCTGTTGCGGAAATCATTTTTTTTTCGATTATCAGTGCTGTTAGGATTTTTGCATCTGCCACTAAATAAAACTTGAACATTTTAACGCCTGAGCTCAGAATAGAGAAACAACTACTGGCAAACAATCCTTTGTCAGGCGCAAATAGAATTTATTCTTTGCTCAAAAACAGGTAGCGGAATGAAACAAAAGGATTTAAGACGCACCTGTCATGAATAATTTATGCCCAGAAACCTTGTTATATTTTGTGAATGAAAAGAAAAACTCTATTTCGCATCAAACATAAACAAAGAGCAAAATGTGGAAAGTTAAAAAACATAATATATTAGACGTTGGAGATAAATGTTGAAAACATCACAAAAGGGTTCTTAATTTGGTTCTCGGCTGAAAAGAGCGGTTTATTTTAAAAAGAGCAGTTAAGTTGTCTCGGCCAAGTTATTGTGTTATGTCTAAGGCTGGTTAAATATTTGCTAACTCACACAGGAAAGACACAGAATAATTAAAAAGATTATGATCCTGACGGTAAATATTCGTGTTCGTTATGATGAAGTTTACACACCTTGGTTTTTTTGGCTTTAGCCGAAATGTAAATTATTTTCCCAATACTAAGAATTGAGATTTCATCTTATATTCGCTTTTCTCACCCAACACGTGGGAACACTTAAGAGTCATATTTGAAAGATAGCATACGAAAAAATACCTAGAGTAAAAAGTCAAAAAAAATATCTCGAAATCCCACTTTTTTTTCCAATCTAGAACTTAAAAACCCCTTCGTATTCGAGGAAACAACAACACAGAAATAGACAAATATAAATCTCGCTTCTAAACTTAGGACCCAAGATACTGTCGCGATTTGCGTGTTTTAATTCGAAGGAGGAGAGGATCTGCACACGGGACAAGTGTTATTATGTTTTCTAGACCGGAGTTAAGAACTGACAATAGCAGAGTACCATAGTGCAAAATGATGTGGGAACACACATGGTACGAGAAGTGCCTGCCTGCGGGTGATTAGATTTTGACAGGTGTAAGCGTTTGAATAGTTTTAAAAATTGTGACCTTTCCGCTGTTTTTGAGGACCGTTGCGACGACCGTAAAAAAAATTATAAAAAAATAGGAAGAGGCTATTTTCTATGGAGCTTTCACATTCTTAAATAGGGTCTATCAAATATGTATGGCTATCATTTTCCCGCTCTGCACTGATAGTTATATATTTCTGTCATCAGTTTCTCTTTGGGCGTTTTGATTAGCAAGTGAGATAAAATTATTTTCACCAATCACAACCTTTGGGAGAAAATAAGAAGGCAACATTAATCGATAAATCTTAGAGTCCCCTTCCTTCTCTCTCATAAGATTGATAATTTTATCCTATATATTTTTTTCAATTATCTTTGCCCTTCATTGTTAACTTTGCTATAAAACATGTTTTGTCTTCTGTATTTTTCTTCACTGAGTCTTTCCATCTCTCGCTCTAAAGCAGGAGCACTGTTTGCTTTTTCACTCTCTCAGAAAATTCAATCATTATGTTGAGCATATTTTTTCAAAACAAGTTTCAAAAGGTAATGCCTTTTTAAGGAGTTCTCGCTATTACATCAAAATTCAAAAGCAAAATTATTCGACTGAGGCAAAGACAATATGCCAAACTATAAAACATATTTTGATTTGATGTGGTATCTGTTATAAGAGGAGGTATATTAAAAAACCTTTGTCAAAGATCACCAAAAAAATGAAATTTGAAATTCTTTCATTTAAATCTCGGCACTCTTGTCTAATTAGATAGGAAAAAATTGCTAATGTTACATTGTGAAGTTCTCTTGTTCTTCAAGGTATTTTGAAGTTCGGCCTAGATTCCTCTCAGGTATTAGAAAAGTTGAGATGAATAGTTTTTCTTGGTTATGGTTATTATAGATTTTCAGGAGGCAGAATGGCCTAAAAAAGTGGAAATTTTTACTAGATTAATCAACCACATTCTAAGAGCTTGATTCTATGAAGAAAATATTTTACATAATTTCTTAACTCGTTTGGTATTGACTGATATTACAACAGTTGTGTATTGCTGGACTAGAAACTGATTAAATTATTTTTCAACCCAGCACTTTCAGTCACATCAATTAATTTTCTCTTCTGTGTCCGTCATTTACAATCATCTTCGCAAAATCAAACCTCCTGAGCCTAGAATCCAAAGTCCTTATCATCGAGATGCTAGTGAGATTTTGGCAGCAGAGAATTCGTGATCTCTGTTTGAAACCGTACTTCTGTGAGCCTGAGATAAAGGTTCGAGTATTATTTTCCTTGGCATAACCAGCACTAAACTTCTTGCGGAGTTCAGGTGACATAGAAAAATTTTAAAGCTCACTTCATAACAGGAATTTAATTAAGACGTGTTGTAGGAGGAGTTTGTGAAACAAAGTCGGACAAAACAGCGATATGAATGATATTTTCGGATGATAGGAAGATAAGGGCTAAGAAAACCTGCAAGACTAGGGCAATTTGAGCATCTTGTGTTTGAAAGTGAAGCAAACAAACAGTGGTGGACAGAATAATTTGCAGTGTGATAAGTAGGTGCAAATCCCTGCCGACAAGTATTCGGAATCACGACTCAAAAAAATTGAGTATGTCAAAGGATAAACTTAATGTGAAATTTAAAAAAAGGCTCTCAGAGGAATGAAAATTTGTCAGCTTACGGCAAAACTTTCGCGGGTGTAGAGCTGCTATCGAACATGGCAAAAAACTGATATATTCATGAGCCACAGCGCTCGAGGTGTAAATGGTCTTCACCTAAATTATATATGTGTACTGTTAGTTTATGAGGTGTTCATAAAAATGCAATACGAGAGCAGAAAAATTACAAAAAATATGCCTCACTAGAAAATTTGAAAAACAACGACGGCTTGTTTACTGAAAATGCACTTAAAACCGTCGTAATTCCATAAGTTGTGGCCAGAGTGAAAGTGTAAGCCGTAGGGAGGGTATTGGGACATAGATAAACACCAAATATTCTGTAAGATATGGATAACAAATACATTAGACGGCTGAGGTATTTTATGTTTTAAACGTAAGCGTGTTGGTCGAATTACTTTCTTCTCTTAGGAAAGGGTTTTTTTTCTTTTTTTACCAATTAAGCCTTGATATCGCCTCTAAGAGGATAGTTGTGAAAAAAAAATTATTCTCTATTCTATTCATTCACAATAAATGTCACAAACGCAAGAGTACTAATTTATAGGCTCACACCCGGAAGAAGCCAACGAAAAGCGGAAATCAAAATAGCCGAAGAACCTACTTATAATTCACTGATTCGGTAGAAAATGACTTTCATTCGAGAAATCAAAGATTTATATCACTCATTTCTTCCGGAGTTTCCGAAAGAGTGTAAATGGCTTAACATTATCATGTTGTCCCCGCTTGGAAGGAAAATAAAAAAAAAAAAAAGAAAAAAAGCGGCTCGAGAATTTTTTTTAACTTAAAACTTGATAGGCCAGAGTGACTTATGTATTGGCCAGATAACAGTCCATTCCTAAACGAAAAACGCACTGGTACTCTTTCAATGGCAAGCAGCAAAATATCTAAATCGACAGGTCTCCCTCTATTGCGTTCAAAAAAATTTTTTTTTGTTTTTTTTTCTTTTCCGTCGACTTATTACAAATGATGAATTTAAAAATGGGGAAAAAATAGAGGACGAAGAAGAGGTTTTAAAACGAGCATTCATCATCGGCCCGAAGGCAGCTGCACATATCAGATATGACTCATTTTAAAACATGTAGCCGGGCCTCACATTGTTAGTTGTCGACACCGAAAAAGATCTAAATGTTGATAAGGCAAGTTTCTACCATTTCCGTTCGACTTTGGAAGTCGTAAACGACAGATTATGCGCTGACGAACTTCAAAATGACAAAACAGACAAATTTAAGTACGAAATATCTGCTTGCCAATGTCGAAAGGAACAAACGTATTTGAATCAATTCTTTTTTCTCTCTTGTTTTATCACTCATGTCGAACAATAAGGTTAAAACACTTTTAAATTAGCATTTAAAAGCCCGACGACATTTTCGGCAATAAGTGCGTACTTTAACTTAAATTTAGGAACAAAACGAGGCAATTTTCTTGACGTTGCATCTAGATGAGAAAATGTACCGCTTCTCGTTTTCTTTCTTCAAACACAACCTGATTTATAAAATTAGTGATCAGGGATTTGTATTCGTTATTTCAATCAGCAATTTATTCGTAATTAATAACAAGTCCTGCCGTAGTAATATGCTATTATTGGCAGTATTTAAAACACTCCGACAATTTGTCGCGGAATAAGATCACTTCTTTCTCAAAGCGAAGTTCTCACTGAAAGCTATAAATTTGATACGACAAACTTGGGCTCCTTGCGAAATGAAAATGCTCACATGGCAAAACACACTTATTTAAACAAAGGAAAAATTATAACCTTGCCTTGCTACAGGACAATGTTAAGCTCTTATTCAATTGTTTTTTTTAAGACTTAGGATTATTGTAATATCGATGTCTTTTTTCCCGTTCTGTTCATTGTGTTAAACAACGAGCAAAAAGCTTGGTTATTGCGCTTCACCACGTTTTTAGTTCTAACGAATATAACTGTTCCAACGACTCTGCCACTTTCATCGCGACTATTATTTTTGATTAAATTGCACCATTTTTTAAATTGGTGATAAAATATAGTCCTTTCTTAGAATCATCTCCCAGCATGCGGCAAAAATACGACGTTGTTTTTGACTTAAAATTGCTTCATTCGACTTCGACATCCAAAACTTTATAAATTGTTAACATGACATAATATTTATATATTTCCGAGAAACTCATTTTACCAGCTAGGGCACTAATTACCACATCCTAAACCAGCGATCAAGGCACAGTGATTAAAAATGTTCTTACTAACTTACTTACCTTTGGGTCTATATTGTTTTACGTCTTCTGCAGAAAATTCATCATCGTCTGGTTCAACTTCGCAATACGATCTTTTTGAGCAAATCCTTCTCGGTCTTTCAACATGAGTTTTAGTGAGGGACACACTCGGCTTCGGAAGTGTTTGAATTTCCTTGGAGGCCATTCCTACTCACATTAATCCCCTTAAAAAATATTTTGCGCTGGAAAAACTGTGAGTTTTCCGCCTCGTTGGAGTGTTAGTAGTATTCCCGCCGCTAAAGGCCTTTAAGAATACGAATTTCCGGACTGGTTAATAACTGAGATTCGTGCCGTCAGCAGGTGCAAATATCTCCCACCTTCTGAGTTTTATGATCAAGGGCTGAAAAAGTCGCCTTTATGAATAATACAAAATTGAAACAAAGCAATTCACTGCAGTTGCTCGACGGAGAGATGTGATTGGTCAGTTTTGACAATGGCCCGAGAGGATCGCCACGCTCATATAAAACCATCAGCAAAGTTTTAATTGACAAATATTCCCATTGTAGCTTTGTAAACATGTCGCTAAATTATTCCGCATATAATTTCAAACACACACTGCACGCAGTGTTAGACTAACCCATCACGTACGGATTTTATAGATTTCACAGCAAAATTTCGTGCTTAAAGTGTTAAATGCTCGCGGTCTGACTATGTCGATCAGGTGACAAAGCGCCCGCCTTTTTGAGGCCGTAAACGATAACAAAAGGGGCCAATTGGGAGGATTTAAAACGAAACAGAAAAATTCGCTCATTTGTAATTTGAATGAAAAGTGCAAAAGGGCAGTTAGTTAAAATTCAACCGCAGATGTCTCAGGACAGATTTTAATTACAGGTGTTTTTAATGGATGTTTCGCTCCTCAAATATATCAGAGCATGCATGCAACTGACTTCCTCGACAGCTATTTCAGAGCCACGCAATTTAAAAAGACAACTCGTAGTATTATTTTTGTCTCTCTCCCTAACTAGAGGATCGGTTCTTCTTAAATCTTATTTTCATTTTTATGTAACAAAATTAAATAGATACAGAATCTTTTGTTGTGATAGATTAACTTTTAGTTTCTGGTTGTAAGAGCGTTTCCTCCTATTTTGATAGACGATTAATGTTCGTTTGCTCGTCAGAATTTAGGGCATTGTATTCGTTGATAATTACATAAATTAGATGGCAACTTTTTAAGTTGCCGAATATAATTTTTTGACGATAAGAACTAACGATGCACAACTGCGAAGTGGTAAAGCTTTTAACTGGTGCAACGCTGCGTGAATAAATAATAAAAACCTATTTCCTGATTTGAAAAATTTAATGACACTACGCGATGGCCTATTTATTCATTCCGGTGTTTGGCTCTTTTTCACTCGAGGAACTACTGTTAGTGACGGTTTGAAACAAATAAAAAAAAGTGAAGATATTCAGAAGCTCTAATTAACTATAGTTAGGTAGCCGTGATACTCATATCAAATGGAAGAAAATTTATGATAAAAACAGCATTAAAACTTCAGCCGGCTGGCAGCCTGTCAGGGTAGGCAGTTTCGCAGGTGTAGTATGCAAATATTTCATGTAGACTGTAAAGTGGTTACCTAATGCCTAACTTGTCTGCAGTCTTCAAAAAGTATCAGGACGTTTGTCACGAAACTGTCCTAAATGTACAATTTTGCGATATCATTTCCTAGCACAGTGTGCCATGTAAACTCCTAATACGCTCTGCAATCATTAAACCCCGCCTCAAGTGGAAGTGGCTTCCCAGTAAATGCTTCGTCTTCAGCCGCTAACAATCCAATGCTTCGATATTCGTAGTTAATGAGAAAAATATTGGAAACGTCTAAACGGGTTTCATGTTTTATCTAAAGTGAACCGCTTCCATCCGGCATCATGATGATGTTCATTTATATACCCCCCCCCCCCCTCAAAAAAAAAAAAAAAAAAAAAAGGGGTAGATGGGTAGATAGGTAGATAGGTAGAGTCCATTGCGAATTATCCCAGAGTGCTCGACAAGCCTAAACTTGGAGTGGGTATCAGCACAATCGCGAAAAAACGCAATTTCAACCAATGGAAAAACACCACAGCCGTAATCAACTGGTTCAAATCTATTGAAAACAAACAACACTCCAGCTTCATCTGTTTCGACATCGAAGAGTTCTATCCATCCATCAGCAAAGACCTCCTAAACAAAGCACTCGACTTCGCCTCCGACTATGACAACATCACCACCGACGAAAGAAACTATAATTCACGCAAAAAACTCCATCTTAATCCACAAGCACCTACCCTGGCAAAAGAAAGGCAAAGCAACATTCGACGCAACAATGGGAAGCTACGACGGCGCAGAAACATGTGAACTCGTAGGAAGCTTTCTGCTCTCCCATTTCCAGGATCTTAATACAAACGTAGGACTTTACCGAGACGACGGACTAGCCATCACTAACGCCACACCTAGAGACACAGCGAACATCAAGAAAAATATGTTGCATCTTTAATAATTACGGTCTACGCATCACCATAGAAGCTAACAAACAAATAATCAACTTCCTAGGCGTCACATGCATGCCCGCTCGACGGAAACTGCCTGCAACCATCAGTAATTTACCAAGCCACCGTTACACGCAAAGACAACAACACGACAGAAACGTACATCGGACTCACAGAGAACGACTTCAAAAGAAGATGCAGAAACCACACCGCATCATTCCGCCACGCTAAACACAGAAACTCCACCGAACTCAGCAAGCACATCTGGATCCTCAGAGACAACAACATCGAGCATTTTATTTCCTGGCGCATTCTCTCATCACACTCGCCGTACAACAGCTCAAGTAAAAGATGTAATCTCTGCCTCAAAGAAAAATTCCTAATCATTTGTCGACCCGAACTATCAACACTAAACAAATGTAATGAACTCGTGCCTTCCTGCCGCCATAGAAACAAGGCCCTCCAACGCAACAACTAAACTAGTAAATTTCGCGCTGCATAAATTAGACTATATTGTATATAAGCGATGGTAAAGATTATTCTCATTAAATCCCCTGATGAGTGGGCAAACACGAAACAGGCCTGTAGGGATGAACTTGTAGTTTACTTGTCTTTTTCCTCCCACAATATATAAATCGCTTTACTCCTATGTGTTGAGCACTGTTTTGCGAAAGCCAAAAATTTATATAAAGAACTTCGAACAGATTTATATACAAGGAAGGTGGCAGGATTATATGGAATTGTTGCTCCTCGTTACGAAAAAGAGCTGTCAACATTTTACCCCCTTGAACAGCTAACGTAAAAAACAAGTTAGACCACGCCTACAGAATCGCGGCGTTCCCTCAATCTTGGAGATGGACGTGACGTCTTATTTAACCTTGTACATCACTAGTAATGTGGTACCTTCATGGATAGGTAGAGTTGAACATGTATAATGTTGCCTTGGGTGGCGATATCTTGATGATCACGCGTGCCTCCCTCAATAAGAACCTTACCCTCCCTTTCTCCTCCCCCATGAGACGATGCTGCATATGCTCTTACATGCACAACAGTTTCAGCTTTGATCAATGAATGGATCTAACCCCGCGTCTTTATAAATTCTTCGGGTTTCGCTTTTAATGAGCGGACTGTTGAATGTGCAAAAGGTATTCCCAAAACATTGAAATTTAAAGAACAGCCTTCGGAAACAACAAGAAAGTAACAAAGAGTTATAAATATACCCCGACAAACGAGGCCTGAAGGTGGATTTTCAATAAATGACGTCATCATGAGTGTTATTGGCTCAGCTTATTGAATCGTGACTATTTAACAAACAACAAAAATACATGAAAAGCAAGATAACATAATTTGGTTGTGAATTTTACTTCTCTCCAAAGCGTCTGCTCGTCAATTTCATGCTAAATCTTTCTACAAAAAGCCAAAGTATGAACTCCATTATTTTTACAAATTCAGGCTTTAAGGTATTTTAAACAAGAGCTAACAGAGTTTTTCCTTATTTCTGCGCTACTTTTAACAAGCCAGTTTTCCCTTGATTGTATTTTTATGGAGTACTTGTAATTATTACCTCGGAACTGCAAGGCACACACAAATTTTAAAAAAATAAAACTTTTAAAACTATAAGAAGTTAAAATTGCCTCGGGTTGTTGATTTGTGTCATTTACCAAAGACAAAGAATTCAAGAATGCATTGTCTTGACAAAATATCGTATACCTGAGTATAACATGCAGACCCCTGATACCCAAATTCTCAAAACTCCTGGTTAGGCCTAAGCTTGAGGAACAACTTTGAGGAACACCTGATTCGTATCAAAAAATTTCTATGTCAATTTCTGGATGCGCATATGCATATGATGATCTTGCATATACTACTTATGACAATAGACTAAATAAAGCAAGGAATTTAATCCGGAAATAAAGAAAATCTTCTTTTCCAAGACAGTCCGGTTCTGATTTATAAAGTTACATTACTAGAAACATAAGCATCCAGTTGTCTTCTCCTCTTTGGCGTCTTTCTTTTTCTTATCGTCGTCCTCACACCAAGCAAGGCAAGGACACAACTCCATGATAAAACTGTAGAATATCTTGTAGGCCAGGAAGCCGACGATTAATATGACCCAGAAAACCAGTCCAATCATGAAGATGATGTCGGAAGGTGCGCCAACAGTTCCCGCCAAATCTGGGACTTCTACCATGACTCGGAGCTTCGCAATGCCCATACATGGAGCCAGGACCATTACCATGAAACCAAGCCCGGCTGGTGCAGCGATCAGGAACCTCAGAGGATAACAGCTCCAGCAGAATGGGTTTCCAATCCAAAAATACAGCGGAAGGATACCTGTGAAGAATGTCAATAATTGGGGAACGAATCGACAATAGAACACAAGAGACTAATTGTAGGCTTCATTCCTCCATATGACCAATACTTTAAAGGTTATCCTTCTGAGGTTGTAATTTTACTTAAGAGTTCTGGCCTCCTCAGAATAATTCTGTTTAGGTAAATATTGAATAGATACCGGGAAAGATACCTACACGACGATCAGAAAAACAGAATGCTAAACGTAAAGTGATATTTCTATGTGGGATGTAAATTTTGCGGAAGGTTTATTTTGCTGATTGGATATTTTTTCGGTTTTGCAAGATAAAATTTTCATGGCTGAAATTTCATCTCAGCTTGGAGGCAATTTTTGTAAATTTCTGTCCCAGTAGTGAACGTTTTTCAAGGTATTACACCCTGCCTATAAAGAAACTCAGTAAATTTACTGTTTTCTATATCATATTCGTCGTGTAGTGGAGTTTGCAATACAAAAATATAGACTATTTGTTTGAGCCCTGGAAGAAAAATAAAAAAGGGAAATAGGCGATATACGTTGGACGTAAACAAAGCAAAAGCAATGTGGGCGACCTTTGTTTACGTCCCACGCATATTGGTCTAACACCTGTTTATGAAAAGCGGTTTTTTAAGTTTACTGGAACAAGGGTACATCAAGGATGTGTTTATTCTGATGGATTTTCTCTTTTCTGTGTAAATTTTTGGGTGGATCGAAGACGAAAGTACGATCATATCACACCAGCTTTATATAACCATCACTGGCTACCTGTGTTTTACTGTATTTATTTTAAAATTTTAATTATTACATTTAAGGCTATATATAATATGTCACTTAGCTACATTAGTAACTTAGTGTCCATTAAGTCGTGTTCTGTTTATTCCCTTAGATCGAATTCTTCATTATTTTTGGATCGTCCTAAGGGGCGTACGATATCTACATTAGGAGCTCGTTCATTTTATGTTTCTGCGCCCACGCTGTGGAACAGCCTTCCAGCAAATATTCGGGAAATAACATCACTCAGCATTTTTAAGACACATCTTTTTAATTTAGCTTACAACGAGTAACATTTCTTGGGGGTGGTCAATTGGTTATTTTTAGTATTAGGTTTTATAGATATTTCTTATAATTCATTATGTTGTATTTTATAGATATTTTTAAATTAATGTAAAGCGTTTTTGATCTTTTTAAGATTAAAAGGCGCTATATTAAGTTTTAAAATTATTATTGTTATGACCAGGAAAAACGACTAAAACTGAAACCAGCGAAATTTCCAGCTGCATTGAAGAAGCTTTCCTCGTCACCCATCCGGAACAGCCCAAAAGGGTTGATCAGTAGATAAACGGTGTAATGTTATTTTCAGTTGTCTTACCTTTATAGATTGTGATTAATGCAACCGCTGACACTTTTAGCCCAATCCACAGACTGCCTCTTTTCAAAGAAAGCTCGGCTGGAACCGAGCTGGCACTTATTGCGCATTCCCAGCAGTTTGCTGACCCAAAATAATGCACGCTCAACTCCACTGCCAGACAGGATACGGGAATGTCATGAATAAAAGTCTCTATGCACATAAACATGGTATGAATGTGTACAATACTTCGATAGTATTTTGGTGTATCTGGTGAGCCAAGGTCGTGTTCAAATTCTGGTTCTCGGCAGTGCTTGCATAAATTTGGAAGTAGAGTGCATACGTGGGCGATGTAGAGCGCCACACCAATCCCAGCAAAAATTAAGAAAAACCATTGAAGAATTTCCAAGGTTAGGATGTGCTTGTCGAGATCTGACACTGTAAAGTTTCCTGGTGCTCTACAATAGACGTTTGTCCTTCCCGGATCGACTTGAGTTCCATTCGCATTTGAGTTCTCTTCTAATTCATTGCATTTTCTTACCGCGTTGAAAACGTCAAAAAACATTCCAATGTCTGAAGCGACGTTGTATCCTTGTAAAATGCTGTATATGACAAATTGGATAGTGTAGGCCGTCTTCATTGTAATTTCTCGGCAAAATACGGCGCAAATCGTCGAACAACAACCAATGCAAAACTCACAAAGCCGATCCGCCATCTTGTGTCGTGAAGATTTGAGAACTGAACTTCAGGTTGAGAAAGGTTGAGAACTGTTAAGATTCGTAGTGTTAGAGAAGCTGAGAATCTAAGCATTGAAAAGAAGATGTCAACAAGTAATATGATTTCATAGACTTGTTTTGACAATTCCTGGTTTATCAATATTTTTGTTATTGCACTTTTGGCACTAAATGGCTGTCAATCACGTTTGATCATGAGTTTTCGAAAACAACCTCTCTCCTAAGTAATCTTACTACAGTACTAGATCTATTACACGTTGGTTTCAGTTGTGGTTTTGGCTCCATCCTTCCCGGTTTGCGTATGTTTGAAAATGCTATATATGCTTCTTTCACTTTTAGAGGTATTTGAGTATTCAGAGCACGATATTTAGTAAAAACCAAACACCAGTTTAAAAGTATTTCTCAAATACCTTCAGGTCCAGAAAATGTTTGTCATCTCAATGGCCATTCTGTTTACCTTTTGACCGCTGATAGCTTGAGAAAAGCACCAAAATTTCCCCAAATATGTTCACTTAAGTTTTGTGGAAGGGAAGGTTCTAATTAATGCGCAGGAAAGCGACAAACCCAAGAGACCGTAAAGCACTTATTGTATTGCGCTGATGGTTCATAGAAGGGGATATTTGCATAAAGTTGCCAAAACAGTTCGAGCGTGACCTATTTGCGAAGTAATTATATTGATTCAGAATCTTTAAATGTTTTGACTTTAAATCAAAAGGATTGCTGCCAGCCTCACTCTGAAAGAACCTTGCAAGATTTCTTGAATTTTGTTTTTACTTGAAAAAAGTTATATTCCTTCTGTAGGAATATTGATTTAATTTAGACATTAAGGTGCTTGAGAAAACATAAACAGACGACGGTTTCCGCTGTGTAAGCAAGACACGGTTTGTCCCTGAAACGTGCTATCGACGGTTAGATCGCCATACTAGGGCTTTACTTGTTGCGGTATGCATTCCAGTCTGAATTATTTTTCTCCTTTCAGGAGTCCCTAAAATTAATCAAATTCAGCGGAGGCATTCCTAACACATTTCTCTCTCACTCATGGGGCTTATCGTGTATGGTGTCCTTGAGAGGACCATTTTTTAGTTATGATCTCTAACGCCTAGCCGAGGAAAAAACTCTTAAAGTGAAGATTTAACACCTATCCTCCCCCTCCTCCCTCCCCCTCCCTCTGCGTATGACATTTGTAATAATATCTCCCTTGGGAGTATTTTGTTGGAAATCTTAGGTCGCGCGTTCTTTGAATTGAATAAAAGAGTCTTGTAGTCTGACGCAAGATTGGTTCTGCAGAGACAGCTAGGTGGAAAAAAAGAGAAGATTTGTGAATCACGCTTCCCACGCCAATGATTTTCTTCTCAATCCAAAAAAAAAAAAAAAAGATAGACATTTTCAATAATTCTCCTTACCACGTTCATGAGGAGGCGTATCAATTTCTCGCAAGCCACTTTTGGCCTCTAATAAATAAACATTACTAGTGATTTACGTGCATGTAACTGATGATAAGAAGCTAGGAACAGCTAAGTGCAAAATTCTAAAACGAACATAAAAATTAGCAACACAGAGGCGCCAAACTGAGAAGAACTCAATATAAACATATTTGATGCTGGCTGTTATACAATGGCCCTATGATAAACGCTTCAACTTGTTAGTCACTAATATGTACAATGCACTTAGATCACTATTGAGCCACTTATAATCTTTAAGTGTTTGTAAACGCTTTTCGGAAAAAGAGGTTGTCATTTGCAGAAGCTAAAATATCATTTTCCAGTGCTTTGAGATGCTTGTGAGCAATATTTATTGCGCATTGTTGTAACGATTCTTAGTCAGTGTTATCATCACTGAAAAGCTTCTGATGTGAGTCTTTATCCAAGTATCGAGACTCAATTATCTGCCATTACGATGTTTGTGTCTTGCAGTTGGATTAAATCAGTGGAAAATGAGGTTCAGAAGTAAACATATGGAAAATTCATATCCCCATGCAGGAGTTTATTTAAGGATAGGGTACATACTTAAACACTTTGACTCGCACAGCACTTTACAGTGCGGCTGGTAGGAAAAGGGACTGATAGAGTGCATATCGAGACGCATGACGAAAAAAAAAGAAACCATAACTTCCTTGGCGGGAATGACAAAAAAAATCGGCGTCTGTCTTTCGTGAGTGGCAAAATTAACATTTTCATGACGTGTGCAATACTTAATGTTTGCAAATAGAAACGTTATTCGTGTGTAGTCGTTGGACTCTTATGACGGGGTGGAAATATCTTCTAATTAAAACTCACTGACAGAACAAGGTATCCATAACCGTACAGCTTTGAAAATAATAATTTATTTTTTTCTTACGATTTTATACTTAATTAAGCAATACAGTCAGGTTATTTTCTTCATAGCAGGTCAAGAAATGAAATCTAAAGAAACAATAACAGTCCAGTGGGCCGCTTTCGATCTGAGAGCAAGCACAATGCTGAGTAAAAGTATAGCTAAATAAATAGCAAACGATGATCGTCAATTAGCATGCCTTGTTTTTTTCGCAGATTTGTTGCCGAAGCATCGCGCTTTTAAAATTGCGAGATATTGAAGGGGTCATTCGACGACAAATCGGTACTCTCCTGTGGTTTCTTGCTGCTATATATCGCTTGCACTCATCACAGTCATGTCTCAAGAGCGTTCGACAGATCATCAAAATTTGCCCCACAAGCAAAACTTTACTAAAGTGACTTCTTGCAAAGGGTAAGATATGTCGCAGCGTTGTGTGTTAGATCTAACACAGCAAAAAAATCACTAATGAGCAACTTTTATCATGATATTGTGCGTGAAAACAATCACAAAGGAAAATGTAAATAGAAGTATGTTCTTAGATACATGTGACTCTTTTCATACTCAAATAATTAATCAACTTTTGGAGCCAGTTACAGCCACTCTAACTTCTGTTACGCTGTTACTCCAAAATTGACATTTTTACCAGGAGACAATTTGTAACTTCTGCAAGGAACTCTTCAGTTCACTTCCTGTTAGTCCTACCGACTGAAATTGGCTTGCAGTTAGTAAACACTTGGGTTTACCCACGGTCAGCTTGTGTTTCCAGGCTCCATTGTCCAAGTGATAGTATGCATAGTACTAGGCATTCATGTTTTAATTTCTCCTGATCACTACTTCATTATGAAAATAGTTCATTTGAAATCATTTAACAACTGCATTTCTCTGGCTACCCAGTAAAAGGCCTTTTTCATTTGAGATCAGTTGGCTCGACCTAAAGGAATATTCCTTAAACAATAATAACCCCACGCCAGATCAATGCAAGTTGTGTTAATATGATAGAACAGTTTTGAATTGAGCGTCGAAAAACGTAATCCAATGACCAATTAGAACAAGGGTTCACATTATCATAAGCCAATGAGAACTCAAAGTGATAACAAGCAAGCTGCTGGAAGCGTGGGAAAACGCGCAGGAAAACGCGAATGACCAAGTCGCAATCGTTTTCAGTTCTGAACCTGATTGGTTGAGAGGATTTGGCGAATTTTCTGGAACAGTCACAGAGCAAGTTTAAGAAAACCAAAGCAATCCTTGACTACGTTCGACATTCAATTGAAAATTGCTCTGAGAGAGATTACTGCAAATAATCTTTGATTCAATATGTCTTACTCTCTTTTTCAAAAATAATAGGTCAGGTTGAAAAGGACTTTCAAATACATGATTGATTTTTTCCTTATATTGACATTACAGATAATGATAAAAAAAGTATATTTCTAACTAATATGTTCTACAAAATAATATGTTTTTTCTTATCACTTCCATGGCAAATTAAACCAGATACATTCACAAAATTAACTAAATTTTCATAAGTTATTTTATACATGCTAACTTTGCGCAAACTGAATGAAATGAAACCGGAATTTACTTTCCTAACGAATAAATTACAACGAAACTGGTTGATTTAAGTCTTTAAATTATTACCCAAGTTACATCCAATTGACACATAATCATTAACAACCTATTTCCTGGTGTCCCTGTTATTCCTCCTGAGGAGGTTGTATTATAGATGCAGACTCAGCGTTTTGGTTTGGTCACTTTAACTATTTTTTTTCTGTTTTAGCCTACCAAAAAATAAATATGATATCTTTACTAAAAAAAATGAAACTTTGTACAAATAAAATAGTGGAATGTGAAGTTGACAGCTGAGAAAAGAAAAAAAACCTTAGAGAGTTTCATACCAACTCTTTCTTTGCTTCGGTAACGCAAAAAGGCTGTTACCTTTTACGACATTTACTTCACCTTCTATCTCTATTTAATTTCATACTTGATCTTGATTAAAATAATAATAAATATAATAATAATAATAATAATAATAAAATGATAGACTAATAATGATATTTACAAGCAGCATAAATATCAGAGCACCTAAAATCTCGGGTGAGAGTTTCACTATTTTGAAATCTTTAGACAGTAACATTAATTTGTCTCGATAAGAGGCAGAGGAATGTTACTTAAATTTAAGAGATATATAAAAGAAATATAAGGACAATTTATAGAGCTTATGATTTCAACAGCGCCATACTGAACATTGTGTCGATCTCAGTGATATTCATCTTCATTCTGATTGGCTGTTACGCTTTCTTCGATTTTCTCACGACAATCAACCGAAAGCGTTTTACATAGGCGGAAACGTCATGCGCTCTTATTTCTACAAGGAGTCTTGTTTTTCTTTAACTTCCTGTTTTGGTGAGCCAAGGTCACTTATTTCTCCGAGTGTGGACTTGGATCATGACACATTATAGTTGTAATATGGATTACTCAAGCCTTGGCCTCAAAAACAAACTGAATCTTAGTTAAATGAGACAGTAATTATTTGAAACGACTGACTGAATGGAACCACCATTTTTCCCGAATTAGCTTGCTCTCCAAAATTATGCGAAGTAACAAAAATTAAAAGTAGTAATCAAACGTAAACAAACTAGTTTCGCAATCAAGAAACCAAATGACAATTCATATTTCACCGTCTTGATCTCATTAACAACACAAACATCCCTCCTTGGAGCCATCGGCTTTTTCCTTCCTCTCACAGGGACAACACAACATACATAAACATTTACCACAGAAGTACCAGTACAGGAAGGTCAGCAAAAATATGATACCCCAGAAGAACAAGCCAAAGGTCCAAATGGTCGATGCTATTGTTCCCATTTCGTCCTTCATCTGGGGCGCCACTTTAAACAGGCGATTTATGGCCACTCCCATGGCGGGGGATAAGGCGAGCACACAGTAAAGGAACCCAGCTGGGAGCACCACGCACACGCGAAGTGGATAGCAGGCCCAGCAGAAGGGATTACCAATCCATGAATAAAGGGGCAAGATACCTGAGATGAAAATATGATTTAGAGATATAAAGCAGCCTGGGAAGAACACGTTATTTGTAGGTCTGGAGTTGATAAGTGATTGATAGTCAAAAGTCACGAGACCCGTTATGAAAGAAACCTCACAGATGAAAATTGGGGGCGAAGTAAATAAAAGGACTGCAAATAAGCAAATATTTTATTTGGAGTAATATACTATTCCTGGGTTTCCCTTTGTTTTGTTTAGCCATGTTTTGTCTTGTTTTGATTTTTTTTACATGTATAGGTAATGTTTGAGCCATATCAAAAATAAATAAATAAATAAATGCTGGAATAAATAGATAGAATACTTTTCACTTACCCTTGTAAATGCTCACAATAGCTATGGAGCCCAGGAGAAGTCCCAGCCACATCTCACAATTGATCTGCGCCATGGGATTTTTAGGGAGCTCTTGAGGTGTTAGGGCACAATCCCAGCAGTTTATGCCACCGGCTCCCCACATCTGCGCACAAAGCTCTACAGCCAGACACGACATAGGCACATCGTGAACCAACGTCTCCAGCAGTAGAAACAGGGTGTGAATTTGAAGGATCTTCTGGTAGTAAGGACCAGCCTCGCTGACCATGTTCTCGAAGTTTTCATCATTCCAGTGTTTGCACGTGTTCGGGAACAGTACAACTATGTGGATCACGTAAATCCCACCAGAGAGGCATATGAAGAAAAAGAAAAAGCCCTCTAGGAGTTGAAGCGTTGCTGCTTTTTCACCTAGCAACGCTTGCGTAGCGTTTTCCGTCGCGACGCAGTAAGGACGCGTCAGGTTTGTGTCGTTGCTCAGAGGTTGAAGCATCCCGGTTGAAAGCTCATCGCAACGCGCGTATGTCTTGGACGTTTCTAAAAAGACGCCGACGTCAGTGCCAATGTTGAAGCCTTGAAATATGGCGTAAAAGATGATTTGCAGAAGGAAACCACAACCAGGGGAAACGGCGTTGCAGAAACACCGGCAAATCCCCCGGCATATCGCCATACAACTCTTGCCAAGGCATTTGCAACAATTTGACAGAAAACTTTGAATGCAACTACAAAGACAACTACAACACATGTTGGTGACTATTTACACAGTCTCCAGATGAAATTCAGACTAGTAATTCCAACTGCACTTCTTCCTTCTGAAGCAGGGATATTTATATGAGCCTTTTTACAGAGTTAAAGGCCGTTAACTTTTGTTGATTCAAGATTTCGAAGGACAGTCCTTGTGCAGTCGAGGATCTTTCGTCCCAGATAAATCAATATGGCCGTCGTTCAGACTGTCAAAATTCGTCACAAGGTTTGTAATAGGATTTACTTCAGTTAGCGAGAAGGCTGACCAGATCAAACTGATGAAAGCATCGGATCACCAGATTTGTTGATCAATCGAGCCAGAACCTTTGTTACAAGCTCACTACAAAGTATTCAATCCGTTGTTTCTTAAATCAAATAAATTCATGTTCTTTACTTTTGTTTCCTCTTGATAGTTTGCGCGTTCTTGGTCGGCGATTCCTGAATGATAAATCAATGTTAACCGCTTAGGAAAGTCTCTTTTGATTCTCCGTTGGCTGGAGTTGTTTCCTTCAAAGGCTGACTGTATTCTTGTTCAATTTGCCGACTTGTATTCTTCTATTTTCAGATTGTTCGTAGCTATCTTGACCTCATAAAAATTTGCATTTATCCTGTGCTCACAACTCGAGAGAAGTCGGTTTACAGCTGCGAAGACAAAAAAGCGAAAAAAAAGATTAATTTCGCAATAGTACATAGAAATTTGTCGAAAAAGAAAATATCAGGAGGTTCTACTATTTCTAACAAACCTTGAGAGGAGATCGCGGAAAGATTTTTCGCCAGAAGGCGCAAAAAAAACTTCGATATTTTTAATATTTAATGAGGCGGTTTTTATACCGACCTGTCAAACAGAGTGGAGACAAGCCTTATGAATAACGCATCCAAAGAAAATGTGTATGCAAAGATTATGGTCTTGTGGAGATTAGGTAAACAAATCCGGGTAACGAAAGCGGTTTTTCATTTAACTCGCAATTCTTCGTAGAATTTAGATTTTGAATAAATATCGATGTAGACGAGATTTTATATTGGCAGAGCAAAGTTCTCTACAAAGTCAGTAAGCGAAATTTCCACTGAAAACTGAGTCATCAACGATTATTTGCATAAACGAAAACTCCTGCACAAAAACAAACACTCTGAAAGCGGCAAATGATGCTATTTTCGAATGAAGCTTTGAATAGATTTTTTCTTTGACGATTTGTAAGTAATGGTTTCTACTTGACAAACAATTCAAACTTGACAGCTATGTACGAAAATTTAAATATTCAGGAACTAGTCATTCAATGTTTGGAACACGTATTGAAAGGAAAATTAAAATTACGCTCACTCATATTCGAAAAAAAAGATTCAGGAACTAAATGAAATACAAATTACAATCGGAAATCATCAAAAAATGCATTTGTTCTTAAAAAATTAAACCACCACATTCAAACTCCATATTTTTTATATCCATATATGAAATACTTCACACACGCTTTGCTTTCAATGCCAGTAGGAAAAGAAAATTTTAATTTAATTCACTCAATCTACGGTGTTAAAGCTAATTTTGGAGAAAAATGTATCTCAGTATTTCGGAAATATATGATCGCTGACAATATTTACAATTTAAGGAGCCGAACCACACACATAGCAACAAATTCGGCATGTAGTGGTTTGTTTAGAAGAATTGTCAGACTGAATAAATATAGACAGCCAAGATACAAAACATTCGCACAGTTTGGCGGTCATGACAATGGAAATTTGAAATTCAAATTGTGTATAGATTGTCGAATTTCCCATTGGTTTTCCAATATTAATGTTAACAACAATTTGACATAATGAGGAAAGGCATCAAAAGAATAAGATCGTCTACTATCCGCCCCGAGCTGGAGAATATTTATGGCACTGGGAATGCAAAAAGTGGAATTATTGTCGGTTTCCTACTGAACTTTAATCTTCAGATCTTTAATCTCGACATCTTGGAAATCGAAATCAAAATTAACTGGCCCTCATGATGTTGTTTGGCCCAAGCCGAACATAAAAATTAAATTTCATCTCGCTAGTATGTCAATTTTGTGTAATCAAATCGTTCAGAGTCCTTTAGCCTGTTTTTAAGTCAATCGCGCTTCTTTGCTAAGTAGCTGGCTGTCTTGTCGCTTCCCCATTCCTGATTCAAGCGATCGAAAAACGTACCATCTACGCAAACTATTACACTCGACACCACGAAAGAAAGGATTGAGGGGAGTGGGGGGGGGAGGGGGGTAGGTTGTGTTGCTAAGCACAGCTCCTTTCCAAGCCATTCTCACCATGTTTCAATGTTCCAGGGGTACCAGCTACGGAACTCTTAGCGCTTTTAAATACGTATTGTTACTTCAATACACCGTAAATAAGTAATTGTAATAATCTGAAATACTCTAATGCAATAGGTAATTAGATTTGGCTGAACACTATTGTAAAGGTTGGCGGCTTTGTGTATGAGGTCGTATATTTATTCAGAAAAATGACGCTCACAAACGGGCAATTCATTCAATAGAAAACTGTTCGCTAATTTGCTTTCGAAAGATCACAAAGACAGTTGAATTTCTAGTTTTCGCAGCAAAGAATGTTGAATCGGAAAAATGCATTCGCGACTGGAAGCCATGTTCTAATTTTGTGAAACCTTTTTTTTTAATTTTTCTTTTTGCAATTCCCCTTCCAAAGCTGAACTATATTGTCACGATATGGTAGCCATTTCATTCAACTTCGCGAGCGCCAGTGGCGGATATGTTGGACTTGAGCTTTCCCCAAATGAATCAGACATCAATTTATGACATTCAAGAAATATAACATATTGGTTAGCCATAGTGACATAACTGATCAATATGTTTTCTTACGGATTAGATGCCCCTCTTCGGATTTCTTACTCGATTCTGGTCCGCTTTAATTTAACAGCTGCAGTGCAAATGCGGTTGATCGTGGTCTAAATCGCAGAAAATCGCTTTGTTGAAAAATTAAGCAGCTAGAAAAAAGATTTCTGACCATATCCAAACTCAACATTATCACTGTTTTTCACTAAAACGAGTAGAGAAACAGGCAACATAACATCTATCGTTAAACTAAACTCTCTATTTTGATCACGAAGCAATACGAGACTTGCTTCAAATGTCAAACCGCCTTCGCTACGTTTTAAAACATATTCAACGTGGATAATGTTTTAGACATTACGCAGAAAAAACAGGGAACAGAACTCAATAATCAAATCGACCACTTACATACATTACCTTACCTAATCAATGCTGTTTTCGAAGAAAATCAACTTGTTTGCCTAGCTTCGCCCTGATTTCACCTTCAGAATTTCCACAGCGACCGAAGGCGAGCGGAAGCGAGTGATGAAAGTATATTCTGTTAGCGTCATCGTATATATTAAGGATGAAGCAGGTGTCTTTGCTATGACAAGTGTCCAGATCTTTTTTTTGTTTGTTTAGTTCATTATTCCTCTTTTCTCCCTTCGCTCTCCTGCCATTATCATTTCAGATTTTTACAAATCGCGACCGTGTTTGTTTGCACTAAGTTGGAAAAGTCAGTTTCAAACGCACAAAAAATTTTAAATCTGGAACATTGGCATTTTAAAAATCTATTGATCACCCTGGAATACAACAAGCATACATCCGATTGGATTTAGCTCTTAAGACCATAACAATTTATCGTTTTTGTGTTTTTGTTTGTATTATAAATTGCTCTTACAGGTCCTTAGATTTTGTCCAAGGAAATCTAAAATTTTCCTCCACGTGATTTCCTGCGCTAAGGCGTGTTCGTTGGGCTTCCCTCCAGACACCCAATATTGCTTAAAAATCTTCATATAAGCTAAATGAGTAAGTGGAGTGTAGGGAGGTTCAATTAGGTGACCAGCATTGGGATGTCGTAAAATGGTACATAAGGATTCCTTTCCCTCTGCTTTCAGACGTTCAGATATACAATTTGTGGTGAATTCCGAATCAATGATCTTATCATCAGTTCCATAAACGAGTAATACAGGACACGTGATTAGTTCTATTGGTGTGAGTGCTGCTAACTCGGCTGAAGGAAGAGCAAATTCCTTCGCACGCGCCACACAATTGCTATATATGATGCCTTCATCTGTTTCCTGCACATTTTCGATTTCATAGCGAAATACATTTGACAGTTTTCCTTTGTATAAGTAAGGAATCCAAAAAGGGGCATTCCATGGTGATATCGCTACCACAGCTTTTACCAAGTCGTTTCGGTAGCTTGCAAGGAGAAGCCCAAGCCAGCTTCCCAAACAGATTGAGTGCAAACTCACGCCATTTGACACAACACTGGGATGATTGCGAAACCATTCTGCTGCCTCTTCAAAGTATTCGAGATCCAAGTATTCTGGTTCGACAGGAAGATCATCGTATGCAAAGTAAGCAAGTGCAAGAGCGGCAAAGCCATGAGAGGCCAGCAGACAAGCCTTAAATTCAACTAGTCCACCGGCTCCGCCAAGTAGATCTATGACACCTTAAAAAAATAACAAACAAACAACATTTTTAGACCAGTATTGCAAGCTGCAACCATTTGGGTCGCCACAGCAAGTTAAAGTAAATTTTTCAGCACCTGTTATGTGTTTCATTACTCACTGTTCAGGGCCTTAAGTAAAGTGAAGTAGTGTACCGATGTAAAATCGAAATGGCTCCTATCGGGAATTTGTAAAGGCGGTGTATAAGCATGGAGTTGAATCACAAGTAGTGTTACATGAAGATGACAAAAACTGAACCAAAATGAGGCTGAACTGGGTCTTGAACAGGGGGATCAATCATTTCCAACAGAGTATAAATAAAATTAAATAAGAAATTTAATGCCAATTAACTGCACAGAGCCCTATCACAGAGCCCTATGGGGGAATCAGGTAAATTTTATCATGAGACGACAAAAATCCTCTATTCCCAACTGCAGTGATGGGGTGAAGAACTTGAGCTAAAGGCAGTTAAATTTGCTTTCATTCAGACTAGAAAGTGGAATATAGAGTGGCCCTATGCCTAGCATACAGGATTACATGAGCTTAGACCTGGTCATCATGCTTATCACTAGCAACAAGCAAATTTTCACAGAAATTTGTTTAATTAATGCAATGGGGAAGGAATGGGAAGGGAAGGGGAGGGGAAGGAATGGGAAGGGAAGGGGAGGGGAAGGAATGGGAAGGGAAGGGGAGGGGAAGAAAGGTACCTGCAAGGTAATACATTGAAATAGTTTGCAAATATTCAAAAACAAAACAGAATTTCAAAGGGTGCCACCTCTATTACTGAGCATGTCCCAACTAGAAGGCTCCAAATTGATAATGGTTTGTTTCCCACATGCTAAAATAATACAGTTAACATACATAAGAACCTCCCTAAAAATATAAGGTTATTTGGGTAAATTTGGGCTTCACTAATCAAGTCGAGATTAAGGATGATTTTGCAAAGACAATCATTTCAAAAGGCCAATTCAAATATTGATAGAAATAGCTTAAAGTTAATAACAAGACTAGATTACAGAAATCAGATTCATAGGAAAAAAAATGAATAAATAAATAACCAAGAGACATATATGACAAATTTTAATCCATAAGGAAAAAGACATTGCCTTCCAGTGTCACCATCTTGTTACTACATATCAAACATGGTTTGAATGAGCCTGAGAAAAGCCACATCAAGTCCCAATAATAGAGTAGTACTGGAAAATGCTGTGAGATATTAATTAAGATAAATGCAGTTTTCAGGTAATTCAAAGCAGAAGAGGGTTCATTCAGTGCAAAGAAGGAACAAACTAGACTGAACAATTCCTTGAACTGTTTAGCCAGACTTTGAACTTTTTTGCACCTTTAAGATGTGAAAATATCATTGTATATTATGACTGACCGACTGTTTTGACCAAACACACAATGTCTCTTGCAGGATTTGAATAAATTATTTTTGCACTTGATACACGTGCTTTGCTTCTGCATAATTATGATAAGTTATTTCATATTTTTCATACATATTACTAATGTGTAATCACATGATTTTTCTCGTACAATTTGGAATAAACAGGCTCTTGTAAATTTTTTCAAAGACCACTCAAAATTTACTCGTGTTTATTTATTACAAATTGTACTTGAAATCATGTGATTACCTATACTAATATTAATTGCACAATTCAGGGTCACTCCTTACTTTCTACATTCACCCTCAAGTGTCAACCAAGTTCCTCCCAGGTTAAATCAAATTTATAAACCTTCAACTGATGGCTGTATGTTTTAAGCATATTTTTATTTTGAGTTTTGAGAATTGAAGCACAACTGAGGGAGAGCTCAGAAGGCACAGAATCAATAGAGAGTAAAACCCACCTTCCTTCTCCTTAATTTCACCTTTGTTCTGGCTGACTTTTGTTTCCCTGTGTTCTATTTTCATAATATGTTGTTTGTTTTATTCAAATGATCTTTTTTGTTTGGTTCTTTTGGTTAAGGTTTCCATTTTTTCATTTTGCTACCTTGTGTTTGATTTTTTGTCTCAGACTATGTACCTTGTGAACTGCACCCACACTCCCACACATTTGTTGGGACACCTAGCTCCTGACCCCCCCTCCCCTCCCTACATTGGTCTGCAAGATGGCATAGACACAGTAGCAATTAACAACATTGGAAGGAGAGAGGGGCGAAAGAACATCATAACGTTGTTCTGGAAAATTATCTCAACTAATTATGTCTGGGAGAGCATCCTTCCTATCCAAATACAGAGTCCTAACAAGTCAAGTAACTAAAAAAGTGACTCACAAAGTCTACCGATTCAAACTTCGTTTTAAATTACCTGGGAAAGGTCCATTGCCCGGTGGTAGAAATAATGTTCCACGGATTCTACCCTCTTTCACAGGAATGCGCCTCACGCCATCTGCCATGTACCCCTTCAGAAATGTCGTGAGTGCCATAGGCTGCTTAGATGTTTCCCTTGAGGCTATGTGGTCATTGAAGCATTTCAGCTCGATAACATACGGTTTCGTGACATCGTGTTTTATCAGTCTAAGTCCTTTTATCTGACCCGGTGCGGGTTTCATGCTCCATAACAGTCCCATAGCTGAAACTCCATTGTAAGATCCACCCACAGACGGGTCACGACCAACATCAACCTGGCCATGTTCATCAGCGATGAAGTGAGCATGCGACTCGAACACTCCGCCGTTATCACCGACAACTTTCGCCGCAAGCGTAACCTTTTGCAGTGGATCGAGTTTCGAGACGCATATTGTGGTTATATCATCGATTAGCGAAGACTTTGGCCACACAGAGAACATCATTAAACGCAAGAGATCGGAAACGTGTGCAACGTCAGGTGACTCAGCGATCGAGTAAGCCTGTGCGCCAAGGCAACGAAAGCCCGCGATTTTGGACCGCGGACTGATGCGCAACTAAATAGGTAGTGTAACAATCATATGGTGACTTCGTCTGTTGCATTCTCTCGCCTGCTTGGCTGGTGAGCGGAAAATAGCAGCTATCTTGATTGAGTAAAAAAGGCGTCATTTTTTTCAGAAGAGCAGAGGAGTGTAAGGAGCAAGATACGCGAGGGAGAGGAGTATTTTTGCGCGCTGCTCCTCATGAGAAAGGAAGAACACAAGGATGTCCTTTCTTCAGACTTTAACGATGAGCCCATCTTAAAGCCGCACGCGGCTCTAAATCCTTTCTTGAGCTATTCGTGGTTGTGAGCTGTACCCCTATCTCTTTTTTCGGTGCTGATCCCGAACAAAAAAAATAGAGTTCTAGCGTTAGTCTATCACTGTACTTTCCTAATTTCGAAATTTAAAAATTCCACGTAAAGCAATAAATAATGCCATTAAACTACGAGAAATAACCCCTCATCTCAGAATGATTTGTAAGATATTAATATTTGGGCCCTATCACCGTGGGAGACTTATCAAAGAGAGGTACTTTTAAGGACGTCATGTCGTCTTTTGTTTTCATTTTCGAGGTTTTAGTATAACTATCTCGATCCTTTAGTGTCTAAACTCCCTATGCACTTGGTAAGGGTGTGGTTCCATACATGGGTGAAGCATTTATATGTACCTCAGTATCTCAAATCAACATCTCCTCCACGCCTCCATCTCATGGTGGAAACTCTCGCGCAATATTCCCTCACGAGAGCTCTAATCATGATCATGTATACATTTTTAATTTTATTGAAAGTAAACACAAGCAAAGTCCCTGGTGAACCACAAAGTCAGAAGCGTTTCGGTAATCGGAGTGTTTAAGTTCGGTCAAGAAAATGGTATCGATAAGCCAAGAGATTCATGCCGTAAACGTATACGCTCCTCCTCTACTTATTCTCTGTGATAATTTCAAATTTCTTGCGGAATAACCCAGATACACTTCTAACTCGTCTCGAGGGATTCTCTTCTTTTCTTCTTACTACTCCCCAGTCTCTCTCGCTCCAAAGGGCGGGGAGAAGAGAACCCAACTAACGAGGTAACTAACTCTTCTTAAATCTAGTGTCACTAAATTTTAAAGAAAGTTTGAAAACAAAACTAATGTCCCGTCTAAAACTATCTCCAAACAAAATAATATCATCGAGATTAACCATTGCAGTGCCATTGCAGTGCAAATACAATAAATACACATATGATTCCTAAATACGTCATTAGAAATGGGTATCTTTTGGGCAATGGTAGAACGGAGAAAACAATAGAGCCATCCACACCTATGAAAAGAAGATGATAAGGATAATAAAGATGGTTGTAGTCGGTTATTGTTATGATCAAGAAAGTAATAATAATAATTGTTTATAATAATAATAATAATAATAATTGTTAATAATAATAATAATAATTGTTATAATAATAATAATAATAATAATTGTTAATAATAATAATAATAATAATAATGACATCATAAGAATTGTATGATAGACAGTAAGGAGAATTTAACCCACCAATGACTGCTACAGCAAAGCCCATCTTCTCTGTTCCCATGCGATAGCTGCATGTTGGAACAACATGCTCTGTAAACGTCACTGTTCCAATCTTGTGGTTGATCGTGGCTCTCTGAACAAGGATGGGAGAACATAGTGAATTTGCCTGGCCTTCGATATGTGGCTCTGAGGCGCAGTTAGCGGTGACGACCAGTTAGTATCTGGGAGGCACAGGTTCGAATCTCACGAAAACTAAATTTTCAGACTCCTCTTCTCGCGACCTGCTATCTAATCTTCAGGTCAAAATATCATTGATTTATATCTTTCCATAATTACTATTGTAACTAATGACCAGCCTATTTGCTGCATTTGCTCACGAGCATTGACAGCATGGAAGAAAACATATCTTTGAGATAAAACAGCACCTCAGTGGTAATCTGGATCATTGCGAATAAATTCAACAGTAAACAGATCGTACATTGCTAAAATTCCGAGCTGACGGGAAGAAAAACTAACTAAATGCTATTTGAAAAGTGAAGCGAACGAGTTAAACTTGATACTATCGAAGAACACTTTTAAGAATTAAAACTGTTTTCAAACGTTTGCCTCCTGTTGCATTGCTCCTAAACTGTGTCCTTGTCAGCAGGTTTTCTCGAGATGAGTTCACTTAGTTTCACAAGTCAACGTTTATTACTACTTTCACATGAAATTCTGCATGCTAAACGTATTTATTGCAATACGTACCTTGTGAATATGTCCTGAGAAAGCATGCTGTGGTTGAACAGCCTCTATTAACTAGGACATGAGATGAGAAACACGTTCATTTGTAAAGCAAAATGATTGCATCACTTTACTTAAACAACTTTAATGATAAGTTTCAATTTAGTTCAACAGAAGCATCAGATCCCTCAGTTAGTACGTAATAAGGCAGTAGTACGTAATAAGGCAGTATTGCGTGTTTGAGAGAAATTAAACGAGGACTGATGACGAGGCTAAGACCGAAGATCCCACCTCTCAACCTGAAATCCTTCTTTGTGAAAACTCTCACAGACTGAGTTTAATCTTTTTTTTTAAATTTAGGTTAGTTTTTTTGGATTGTATTGGGCAATCTTCAAAGTACCTCTTCATTTTAGCTTCAGTGTTTCACGGACTTGAATTGTCAGGAAGACACATATGCCTACAAAATTATTTAACAGTCCTCTTCTTTTGTCAAAAAATCATGGAACTGCTTCGTAATTGATACATAATCTCCGGGAAAAGCTTACCTTTATCACTGGAACTACCTGACTTCCACTTGTATGAGTAAGCGGAACGTGTCCAATAAGAATAGAAATTCTATCGGGATCAAGCTTTGAGGGCAAATCGTCAATAAAGGCCATTGTGTCATTATAGATCTTCCATTCCGATACGAAGGGCCTCCTTCTTAGCAAGCTCACTGAATTTATCTGTGAAAGTTCCATAACAACATTTTTATTAATGATTATAAAAACAGAGAATAATCATATAATAATTATTTTCAATCGTCAAACTATAGCTACGCTCTTTTTTCTAAAATACCGAACAAATAAAAATCGGTTTTAACTTCATTCGTGACCATTCACACTGATTCAAATTTCGTTTGATTTCATCACTCTTTGTCAGTCTCTCAGTTGCGACATTCTGTGTCTTGGCCGACCCTCCCTGAGTAGTAAATGACCTTGAACAAAAAGTAACTCCCACCTTCTCCCCAGGGTAAGATTTGACATAAACGCGCTTTCGCCAAATATTCAAATTTCGCGCTCGTGCAGTAATCGGCTATGTTTGAGTTGACCTCGTAAATTTCACTATTGTAATGGCAGCGAGTTTGAATTCCCCTAGTGAATTAATAACCCATCGTTTGGCTATAAAGCTATTGTTTCAAGATATCCTTTTATGGCCATATTTGAGACACTAAACAAAGGGCATTGTCTTTGAATTTGATCAGCTTTTCTCGATACATTAATGTGACACCAAGTGAAAATAATGTTACCTCGTTATTTTTTAAAAATTCTTAGCTTTGAAATAGATACCAACTTTGCCTTACCCAAATTCACGCCTTTTGACTAAAAGGGTAAAGGATTACCTTCACTATCTGAAAAGTGTACTTGAGCTTTATAACATCGTTTAGTGGGCCCATGTTTGCTGAAAATCTTGCCACTTCTTCCTCTGTAATAATATCGCTCGATTCGCCTCCAATGTCATTGTCTCCGGCTATATGAATTCTATAAACTCCAGCCGGGGTATGAAAAATCCTATCGTGTCTAGCCTGAAATAAATATGATGCACTTACTGAAACCAGGATAGCTCCTAGCCAACAACTTTGGGTATGAACTTGGCGCCGTATTGGATTCGGAGTGCTAAGTTTCAATCTCTTTATTAAGCGAAAACCATTACAATATCTTCGGTCTTTAAAGCTCGCCACTCCTCCTTCCGTTCCCGTCAACCGACTCTGCTAACAAGTTTCTGAACAGAGCTGAGTTTAATTTCCACTGAGCGCTCAAAGAAATGTCCTTATTGATTGCATGTCCTTGATTAGTCTAGAAAACTTAGGCTTCCATCTCAACCGATCAAATATGAAACTGCAGTCAAATCGTAGCCCACTCCCTTATCTTTTCCTTCGCTGCAGGCACCTAAGTTAGTTTTATAAGTTCTTTGCAAATTTTTCCTTGAGAACCCATGAGGTAATGACAAGGGCCCAACAGAAGAGAGGTAAATACCAGAAGGAGTCGACGAGAACACTAGGGGACAAATGCACTTGAAAATTCAGTTCACTTTTTTTTTGAGGATTTTCTTACTAGTCCAGAACCTGAAAGCAATTCTGTAGTAGTTTTTCCATGTCAAATTCCTACAAGTTACAGGCGTGCTAAATTGTCATGAATATGACCGCAATCTCTTTAATACAGCAAAATCTCGGGTCGAAAGATTCAAAAGTTACAAATTATAATTGTTGTTAGGATATGTGATTTGTAACACCATGAAGTCGTGTTACCTTATACTCTTGAAATTCCTCAGCAGTAGCAATGGATCCTTCATCAAATACATCACCTATTACAACCGAATGTCTCTAATGAGCGATCACAACAAGCACAATGATCAGCACAAATTATGTCAAAGTCGAACTCCGCAACGGGTTCTCAGAGCGTCAATCCGCCGAGAAATCGGTGAGTTTGATGATCGATTTCTCATACGGCCAGAAATCGAGGACGACATGAAAATCTCGATCCAAATATATTTTCGATCGCCAAATTTATTTTCACTCGCCCTAGCGACCAAAACGGTTGCAACTTGGAACACTGTCTACGTATGTGAATACACTTAATAATAATTTGTCACTAAACAAGTACCAAACAATTTGGAACTACAGAGTAAAAATTAAGTTTTATCGTGCCAATATTCGAGTGTCACCGTGCAGATGAAATTAACACTAAGCAAAGACAGGCTTCCCTGGTTGATCTCACAATCAGTTAAACCTGTTTAGAGAATTCAGTGTCTTATAAAAAGAGACATTTGACATTTTTTCAAAACTTTGGTCGAACCCAGTACATAGGTGCAAAAGGATGAAACATAGCTCCTGTGGCGCCCGCGTTGTTGACAGCTGACTGTCCCCGATTTCTGGCCATGTGACAAAGAAAAAGATTATTTTTGTCCTTGCATGGAACAATTGTTTCTAGATCGCCGTAAATTCCATCTTACTTATACTTTTTCTCTTCACAAACCTAAATGAATGACAGCATCTGGGAAGAAAGATGTCAATGCCATGAAGAAAGTCTTCTTCAGGTACCAGTCAGAATCAAAGCGTGTTATGTAACCAAGAATTCCTGGACGGTCGCCTCTGTAACCCTAACATTAAGATACCATAAAAGCCGGTAAGGTCTGTAGAAAAGTGAGAGAAGAAGGAAAGGACAAACGGAATGCTGTGAATCAAATCTCAAACAAAGTTTGGTAACAGGCCTCATGAAGGGTGACAGATCACCGCCAAATAAAGGTAAGATTCACAGTACTTGGCTCGAGGTCATAATATGACATGCCTTGGTATGAATAACCAATATGAAATGGTATGGTTTGAGGGGAATAGATACGTTACCACGATATGAACATGAGATATTCAGATGTAAAGGTTCCCTGTCTAAAAAAAATAGGCTTTCACCATTTGTTTGCAGAACATATGTAAATGGTAATAAGTTTCAAAGTGTTTCAACTTGTGACTTGACCATAGCATGCGATTCATAACTACAACTAATACTTAAATCAGATCAAATCGCTCAGCTCTGCTCACTCTCCGACCCATGCGGGTAAAAGCAAACGATAAATGACCATTATATTTTGACCAGTAGAAGATAGAAGTTAAGAAATGATTCTCACAGCTGCGTTACAATATTGAAGAAGTTACAGAAATGAAGCCTGAAAAACTTCTGACTTTGACGGGATTCGAACTGCCAGACTCTAGTTTGGCGCTTCAATCACCTTAGCTACAAAGGCCACGAATGAAGAATTTATATTTTGAAGAAGACTCGTTGTGTGATCATAAATAGATAGTGAAGATGATACGTAAATAAAAGTGGGCATGAACCAAAAATATACCTAAAATATCACCTAGCAATAGACATTAACTCTAATGATATCAACACTATGATATCTATTCCAATCTAGTAAATAACCTCAATACAATACAAATGTACTTAATACCATGTTCTCCATAATATAAACAAGGCAAGTAAAATGAATTTTCAAACCAGAAGAGCAATCCATTAACCTATTGAAGTTTTAAGAATTCCAAGCGATTCTAGGCCGGGTAGTAAAAGGCACTATTGGTTATAAATTTTACGATATTGACTTGAGGTTCTCTAAGATAAAAGTCCCTTTCGTATGCGAGGCTGCAGAGATTGAAAAATTAATGGGGTAAAGCATTCAAGCCAAAGACTGTAAAAGATGATTTCTGACGCATGTCGAGGGCTTCCTTACATGATAAACTCACCTGAATTTGAGAATCCGAAACAAAGAGTAGATTTAATGAGTCGCTGGAAGCTTGAGGCATCCGCCATGTTACAAAACACAGGCAGAAACATCCAATCTCCCCAATAAACAAAGCTATAACAAGTACAACTAAGAGAAACTTGAATTTGTGAACACAACATCTCCGCCAGAGCCTCGTGCCCATCTGAAACAAATTCTGAAAAAAAAAGACACAAGTACCAAAAACATAAGTAATATATTGTGAGGCCGTTCTGTTCAAAACTCAAAACGGTATATATTTTCTGATAAAGCGAAGAGTGCAATATTTCAAACGACATCAGTAATCCCATTTAATACTGGCTGTCCTAATCGCTGGATGATAATGCGCCGTGCTTGGCTGCACCGTATATTTTATCGAAAATTTGCATTTATTTTTAAGTCTTATGGTGATTTACCAGCTTCGAAGTCGTTCCAAGGATGTTAGGTGCGTGTGGCCCTGTTTTAGAGGGAAAAGAGCCGGCTGCCGAGCGAGGGAAAGAGTAAACAGATGTCGCTATTCCACCGAAGTGCAGCTAACCAACCATATCAATCATTCACGAAGCTCCCGGCCACACCAAAATAAAGCTAACTGTGTGACATCTCTCTATCACAACAAGATCAACAAGGAGCTAGGAAGGTCTACGTTCCGTCTGTTTTATTGTCGAACGTAATGTCTTTGGCCCCCAAACTGGATGAAGTCGCTGATGCTATTACATACGCAAATCTATACATTGCCTGCAGAGACCTGGTTGCGCGACCAATTCACGACAATGTCGTCAGTATTCCTGGGTACAATCTAGTGAGAAGAGACAGGATTGACGTAATACATGGAGGCGTTTGTACCTACATCAAGAAAGGGCCCTCAAGTTACTAACGACTCAGCGCCTGAAAACCTCAAAACTGTAGTTACCATTCCAGAAAATTTACTACTTTCCGATTCAGAAAAATCAGTTCTCAGCAAGTGCTTAAATTTTGTTCCCATATCACAAAAAACCGACGAATTTTCAGTTAAGCAAGACGTTGAAAAATTCCTTCGCCGCGTTCAGTTGAAAGCCTTTTTTCATGACAATGATGACATGAAAAACAATACTTGAAACAAGTTTAATTTCCAAAAAAGTACAAGCCCTCACCTTCTATCTTCTGCACCAGCTTAGGATGTTTCTGCAGTGGTATTCAGTAACAAAGCGTTGTTATTTTTTCTTAAAACTTCTCACGAACACAGACTTTTTCAACCTCGCGACAACAGCACCGAAAAAGAGATTTGTATTTCAAAATGCAAGCGAACAGGAATTGCAAAAAATAAGTTCTCACTGACTAGTACTTCTGCAAAAACAAAACTGTTCTTTTCAGTGTTACCAAACAGAATGAAAAGGTTCACAGTCAACTGTTTGTCTCTAAGCTAGACCACTGAGTTGTTTAACGGGCTCAACGTCAGAAGAAATTTGTTCCAATAATATTTTGTTGCTTGACTGTAAGACGTACTCGAGTTTATAAGACAAGTCAAGTTGTTTTTGAAAAATGCTTCGCTTCGCTAATGCTTCGTAACTAAAATATGATACACAATTAAAGCTCGAAGTTCAAACCAGTTAAAGTGATCCGAAAGCACCGCGAGAATGCGTTAAGCCTGGTTTTCACTAGCGACGCAAGCATAAGCGCAAGCACACACGCAAGCATAACAGCTCATATTTCACCACGAAAACGGCCTCGACGCAAGCATAAATTAAACACAAGCGCAAGCAAAAGCACAAGGATCAAAAATTTTTCTTTTTCCTGTGCCTATGCTTGTGTTTGCGTTCGCGTAATCCGAGTGAAAACAAACCGCCGCACAAGCACAAGGAAATCTACCACATTTGTGCTACATTTGGCTATGTCTGGCCAATTATGCCACTCGCTCCAGTTTCCCCACGTCTGAGCACTTCAACAAAGTGGCGGAGACCGTCCCTGTGAACTTTGATGAAAAGTTTTCCGAGGTTGTTCGCAACTATCGAGTCTTGTTTGAAAAGGGGTCAACTTGGTGGTCTTAAATAAATGTCTCTTAGGGCCATTCAAATTGTACTGCATGTCTCCCTCAGAATGTGGTTAACAATGGTCCTACTTTGGCTATAACTGAAAGCTAATGATTGTTGATCATCCCCACTGGCCAACATGCGCAATGTGAGAGTTAAGCGCTCTGCAGCAGAAATGAGCTCTCTCATTTTAGTGGCCTTCTTGGAAATTAAGGGGCCAACCAGGGTCAACAAATGTTCGAACCTTTCTGGGCTCATGCGTAAATATCTTAAATTTGAGGTGATAAAAGCCAACGATAACAATTCATCAGCGAAGACAATTTGTATAAAACTGAATTTCATTCAATCAGCTAAGGAAACAGAAAGCTCATCTTAACTTTCTGAAGCTAACACAGAATAACGTAAACAGATGAAGTTTACCTGTCTACATTGAATATTTTAAAACTTTCCATCTCCGTAACCCATGTACATAAGCTTACTTGAAATAATATTCACAATCTCCAAGTCGTAGCTCTTCCACGAGGTTGTAAAAATCACCTTGACTTTTCCTTTCTTTAAAGATATCCCTACCCCAAAAGCGTTTTGTTTTCCTCCTCTTTTGCAACCGCTTTCGCTTTCTTCGTCGCAAGAATATGAATTTCTCTGTGAATACCTTGCTATCAATCCGAATTAGATTTCCCCTGACCTTGATTGGTAAACTCTCTTTGCTCATCCTCCTTCCAGTGAAATTAAATAAACTGCACAGCAGTAAACATTGTGAATGGCCGAGTTTAAAGACTGACAATTTCCTGATCAAAAAAGATATTTAATTTGTTATTTCAAAAGAACCAAGCACAACTTAATTAGCTTAGAAAATTCAAAAGATGCAAAGGAACAGAGACAGCAGCAAGGCAGGTTCGTTTTTTGTTTAATACTAGGTCAGATTTTTCAGGTTAAAAATGCGGCTGTTTATTCCCATAGAAATCCTTATTGTCCATGGCGCAATATAGACATGTTTGCATACTTACGCAGGTTCATTAAACGAGTTTGGACTACCCGCGCTAGCTGTTAATATTTCACACCTACATTAGCAAACTGAAGTAAGCACCTGATTTTAAGGTATAATTGCTAAATCTGACGACAAAGTAAAAATGTGGTTGATTTGTTATAGGGAGGGGCGCTTATTGGATAGAGGGCTCTTATCGAAGGGAACGCTTTTTAAGAAACTATTAACCTGTACTGATCCAGCTGTGGTTGAAGCTTACTATTTAAGTGGGGAAGGGGGATGGGGTATTCAAGTGGGGGCGCTCAGGGGGTGCTTGTTTGATTTATGGACTTGGGGGTGGGCGCTTATTTGTGGAAGGGCGTTTGTTACAGTGTAGGCGCTTTTTTGAGGAGATTCGGTATGTCATTTTTCCTTCCTTGCGTGAAGAGGTAGATCAAAGGATCTTACACGGATATCATGTGGATACTATTGAAAAGAAGCCGAGGAAAAGTAAAATCCTTATGCTTAACAATAACAACAACCGTTGGTGGCGTCTGATCTTGTATCCTAATCTTCAGGGTCGTTGTTTTTCACCAGAATGATACTTAACTGAGGACATAAGAAGCTCGAAACGTCAGCTTTTTTACTCTTTACAGAGGCCAACTTACGTTTTCAACTCAGTTGTTAACACTAAATTACATGAGGAAACATAAGCTGTCACTATAAAAGCATGTTCATACATCCACCACGATAATCTCATTAACCCCAAGATATTTTAGTCAAGGATTATTGGTGTAACTTCCAAACTGATCCTGGGAGAATGCACTTTCCACAATTTCCCTTTAAAAAATAAATGACTAAACTGTTTCCACAAGATGCAGTGGCTGTCCATATTTTATCATCATCCTTTATCATCTTTAGGTGTGGTTAATCTGTTCGGTCCTGTGGGCGGATTAGGAGAATTCAAGACTTCATTCTTGGCATCTCATGGATTCGTAGCTCTTGCATTGGCTTCCATAGATTACGAATATTTACCTTTGTCCCCTTCGTCAATAAACTTGCCAACTGGCTTATAAGTCCACATGGTATGGGCATGCATACCATTTGCTCTGGGTCATGGATTGGGCTGCTGATGGCAAGCTATCAAATAGCAGCAATAAAGGCCGTTGTAGCTATTTCACCGAGGCGATTGCTTCCTTTTTGCCTTTTGAATACGAAAAAAAGATCTCTGATGCGATTCCTCTTGATAATACCATAGTACAATCTTCAGAGAAGGGTAACATCTGTTATTATGCCAAACCGACCAATGCTGGTTATAATAGCCCACCAGTCTCCAAATATTCTGCTTTAACTCCAGTTGAGCACATTACTTGTCCTTTTTAAAAAGTTTCTAGGACAAATGACCTGAACATCAATACTGACTAAACAGTAAATTTCATCGCTGATCGCCTAGAGGAGAGTGGAAAATGACATTTGTGTACTACCCGCGACCTGCGTCATTCTGCGAAAGAGGATCTTTACGCGCTTCCTTGTTAATGGTCTGCTGCGGCTTACATAAATAAAATTACAAAAATAAGTTTCTAACAGAAATTTCAGCCGTCCCAAGGGCACAAATTTTTTTCCGCGAAACACGGCCAAGTGCCAATCAGTAGAATAGGACTCTTCCAAACGTTCTTACTACAGAGAGATGTTTTTAAGCGTTGAGGTCGTAACATGAAAAACAATCCACACACCTTCCACCCTTAATGCTTCCCAATGTTGAACGCACCCACCCCCTCTCCTTCTCGACTTGGTTGAACCATATTTAGACAAGAAAAGAGACTGTGACTCCCTCTCACCCTAAACACAAGCCACCATTGAAATTTGATCAATTTTTCAAATCTTACAGCCTTTACTGAATAAGCATTCCATGCGCCTTGATACTATTTACAATGTGGGCACTCAAAGAAGATGAAGGCTGCGGAGCAGCGAACGAAGGAAAAATTAATCCACAATTTCATTCTCATTTCTCTCGAGATTGCCTCAAGATTCAGCATCAAAGGCTTTTAACCGGCTGGTTACACCACTTCTGTGGGCGCACCTTTAAAATAATGTAGCCTGTAAAGCAGACGCACTCAGTACTAAGAGTAGATAATGACATAATTTCGAGTGCAATTTGGTGTTAATAAGCACAAGGAAATCTTTCAAAGACAACAAAATTGCACGAGCCCGTAGGGCAAGTACAATTTACCTCTTCTTCATAAATTAATTAATTTTTTGAAGGCCATCTAACATAACCTTAAGAACAACTTTCAATGGGCAAAATTCTGAAACAGAGTGAAGCCGTTTTTTTTTTTACCACGACCAGTTTTTAAACAGCCCTCAATAAAGGCAAACGTTGAATCTAAACGTTGATTTTGTTAAAGCAATGTCAAGGACGGTTCTAATGAACACTGGAAAACACGCATTTCATTCCAACAACCCACATGCAAAGAGCTCACGGGACTGCCGATTGTCTAAACCGCAGCCGGATTCAAAAGCTATTTAAAAAACCGGCCTCTGAAGTTTAATAAATGCTTTAGGAACTGTGACGGTGAGACTTCATAGGGAACCAGCTTTGATTATCTTGAACAAGCCGTTGACATTGTTGTTCTTGATCGCTTGTCGGCAGCCTGCAATAACTTGAGATTTAGCTTTGCCCACTGCAGGAAAATGAAAAGTCAGGGATTAGATGACGATAAAGCATCTTTGAAAGCTGTACAACATTCCTTAATAATACTTAACAATACATAGGTCATCCAGATAGAGGACTCATTTAAGAGAGATAATTTCTCTAGAGGAGCTTATGTGAAAGGGGCTCACATGAGCTTTGAGCCAATTAGAGAGGGGCTTGTTCGAGGGGGCAGATTATAAGAGGAAAAAGGTGGAGGGCTCATACAAGAGCCATTAGTGAGGACAAAAATGCAAGTTCTTACTTTTCTCCAACAACTGGCCAAAAAATTTGGATGCTCTTCGTTTAACCCTTTGAGTCATCCGCACGAATTCAAAGTTAATTCCCTAACTGATGATTATGCTTTTTCTGAAGGCTCTTGAGGAGAATCTGAGAGTTATATCTCAAAATAACCTCTGTCTGATAATTTGCTTAACTCTCATCGCCTGTCTCCTGAACAGTGTCTTAGAGTTGTGGGGAGAATGTACCACATGATCATTCCTGAGAGCCAGGGGGTTAATGCACTGAGTTAATCCGTTACCTCTGAGCTTTCCAGCTCGTTGGATGGCCTGATTGACAAGTTTTAGACAGGACAGAAGCTCTGTGTGATTATTACATCTGATCTTGTAGCCATTGATTAAATCTCTGTTCAGGTCATACAGTTCCATGTAGCCTTTTCTCATGTTTTTCCTACAAAGAAAGTAAGAACAAACATGAAATCTGAGGAATAAATTTATCAGCCGCGAACGGTTTGAGTGAATTATTAACCAAATATTAAAGGAGTTATCACTGAAATTTCCACGAGGAATAAAGAGAGAGAAAGCTAATCGTTCAGTAGCACAGAGAAACTCTAAGGAAAACTTGAGAGCTTCAACCCAAGGAAACAACACAGTGATCTTTAACTCAGAAATGACAGGCAAATTATAGAGGTGCCAATAAATACTAAATTTAAAACAATACTCTTCATGACGACCAGAATGCAGAAAATTACATTTCCGAGCCTCTAGATTTCACTTTTTTTCTGAGGGAGCATGTCCCTTGACCCAGAGGGAAAACCTTGCGACCCCTCTTCCGGGCACAGACCCCTTTTACACCACTTGCAGCTGATCAAGTGCGCTTACATAAGACCAGTACATCTCAAAAGGGCGGGTAACATTAATCAACATTAATCATCATGCTCACATGTCTCCCATTAATCTGGCATCTTCAGCTCTGACAACCAAGCTTCTGATCAAATTGGAGTGATCTGCCATCTCAGCTGTCAGTTTTTGTCTCACAGCATGCAGCTCGTCTACCTGAATGATGATAATTTGAAGGCATGTATCGCGTCAGTGATCAACACCCGAGACAGTGCTTTAAGGTTAAGTGCCGTGAAACAAAAGTATTCACGACAGCCAATCAAATCAAGTAGAAAATATTAGATGGATCCAATGAGAACGCATTTTGAACACAGTTAGCGGGCTCCACCGGCGGGAAAATAGAAGCGACCCAGTCACAGTGATTTAGTTTCGCAACTGATTTATTGGAAAGTTGGCACCACCATCACTAAGAGAACGTATTCTCTTGCCAGAATTATTTAAATGAATTACAAAGCGAACCAAAGCAAAAACAATGCAGTCCCATGTATTTAATTTTTTTCGACTGAAAGAATAAAATCCGAAAGGTTTTATTCTTTCAACATTTGGTCGAGAAGCGACGCTTCGAGAGAAAATGTGAAATTTTGATGACAATCTCTCACCAAGAACATTGTCATCCGACAAACCGGCCGGAAAGAGGTTTATCGATTATAGAACCCTCCTAACCCAGCAACTTTTATAACTTGCAAACAGCGCCCGTAAAAAAGTCAACGTTGATCTAATGGCAGTATCAGTAAATTCTACAAAACGAGTTTATTTGTCTTCCGTGTAAAATGATGGAGGTGAAATGATAAAAATTTTGAGCTGGCTCAAGTTTTTTTTTAACTGGCTTTGTTACTTTTCAACGTAAATAATCGGATAACAATGATGGGGGTTATTGCGTGATGAATGTGTGGTGATTCTACACAACGTGACCTGAAGTGTCCGAAAAAATAGCGCGAAAATTGATTGATTGGTTTTAAGGCCAGATATACAGTTAGGTTAAATAACGCTTTGAACAACATTGCATATTCGTCATGTTAATCCGGAACTGTTTTAATAAGTTTTGTTTAGGTTTATTACCTTAAGCAACACCGCACGAAGTTCTTCCAAATGCTCCGGAAATTCTGCAGTGGTCTGTAAGTCCTGGAGTAAAATCGTATGGCGAAGTGGTTAGCTCTTCTCTAAAGCAGTGTTAAGTTAAATTTACTTTCAGAAAACAGCGACATGTTTTCTCTAGAGATATTTTAGAGGTAACTTCTTCACAACTGAAAAGCAATTCAGGTTCGCTGCTCTCTAAGGAGTGACACTGTTCTCAATCAAGAAAGCTGCATTCGAATCACGAAACCAACGCAAACAGAAACAACTAACCCAATAGGACTTGGACAAAACCATCAATTGGTCGTTACGAAAGCTGCCAAAGTGACAATGAAAAAAGAGTTTCTATTTATATTGTTCAGGGAAAAATTACCTCAATTCCCAGGAAGGTTGCGAGTGCCTGAATGATATCACCTGCTAAATCCATGTCATCTGTTTTGACACTCACCTAGACAGAACAAAAAACTTAGGCCTGCCAGATACGTTTTAATACATTCCCCTCATTTTACAAATTTGCTTTGTATGTAATATCATAACCTAGCCTTCCAACAGCCTAACAGAAAGTTTTCACTTATGTAGTGAGCAGCTTATTACATTTCGTTAAAGATAAAGACAAGGGCTTCTGAACACGAACCTGGACTTTTTTTGGCACCAGTTGTTGAATTCTCTAAAAGCGTGCTAAGAAAAAAAGTGGGTAATTTAAATGTGCTTACATGAAAAAATCGCAGAAAAAAAAATCGACCCTAAGCTCTGGTTCAAAACCAGGTCTCGCCGAGGTTTACTAGGAAAGGAGGAGTTACCCTCCTGAGTGCTTTTTATTATCAGTAAATAATTACAAAGATTTGACTGAAAAAGGTTAAGCTTCCCGGTGGTTCCGCCTAAGCGCTACTACCAATTAGCACGCAACTAGGCACAGGTTCGAATCCTGTCGAAGCCTGAATTTTCCTGAGTTTCTCCGTTAAACTTTAGTCCAGAGAAAAGATAGCCACTCTATGCATGAGAACTGGTACAGCTGTAGCTATGGTGTACTAAAATCAATTCAGCTCCTTACATTTCCACTTTGATCCATTTTGATTGCCAAGGGGTTACCAGTTCTCAGAGACAAGAACATTATGTCAAGGTCCCCATCTTTACTCTCTATCTCATCCGGGAGGAGAAAATTCTGATTTAGCCACATAACAGCCTGTGCAGGAACCAGAAAATAGAGGTCAGTTACCAGCAATGATCAGATATCCGCGTTTACCTAAACATTTACTCCCTAACAAAAGTAAACATATTCTCCATCCTGTTCCTAAACTTTTCCCAACGTCTTGACAAGGAGAATTTGTTTAACAATCAAGAGCTTCTTCAGTTGATGGTCATTTCCTTTATTCTTGTGACCTTAAAGTGTGACTCAGGTGTGATATTATGAGGAGAAATTAGATGCTAGTCGTTCTACTGGGCTTACCCTGTTCACTCTTTCATTAATATGGAAGCAGCAGCTGGATTTTGGTTCAGCATAACCATCTGGGCAAGGTATGTACAGGGTGAATCTACACAACAGAAATGATGTTGACTGAGTTTGGAAATGAATCATACTTGAATGATTTAATAGGTTTACCGGCATAATAACTCACTCGGGATGTTGGGAGAACACGTGAAAAGTTCTTCCCACGTGAAAATGTTCCCCCCAAATCCCAAGTGGCTTATTAGGCAGGAAAATAGACAGAAAGTGCAGTGTATTGCTTTAATTCATAAAAAAATATGGGTTCATCAGTGAAATAAACGGTAGCTTTTTACCAATAAGGACGCTTGTAGTATGTAGTACTAGTATTAATGTATAGAGTGTTTTGGGGAAGAAAGAGCCACATGAAAAATACATGCATCTTAGCCTTACAGACTAAGTGAAAACTACCATGAAAAAAGCTACATTGCCCTTCAATCCATCTTGAGGCACACAAATTTCAGTTTCTCTTGTGTGGTTGAAAGACAGCCATAGTAGAATATGATCTAGCTCGCACAATGTTAGTGGCCTTGTTCAAATGCTACTCTGACTAGGAGGTGAGATTCAGTACCCACTGAAGCTTGAGGTATTCAAATTCTTTTCCAAAACTAATTTAAATCTATAGAATCAACCTGTATCAATCAGGTTATCACTTATTGTTAGTAATTTTGCAGGTCTCTTAAAATATTTCATAGAGTATAAATATTGTTACCTAGGTAGCTGTCTTGTAAGCTCAAAAACATGGAAGTGGTTACTGCAAAACAGAAATTAAATTTCAAACAAAAAATAAAACAAACAACAACAAAAAAAGCCAAAACAAACAAATTAAGAAACATACACAAAATATAGAATCAGATGGTGAGGTAAAGGTATAATTGTCTGACTAGAAGCACTTACACATGCCTTCTTTCATTTCATATTTGCAACATTGACTGTACATTTTAGTGATTTGAAATAATACATTTTCTCTCCTTGGTTAAAGATAGCCCTTTTGCAGACTCATTCCATGAATTGCATTTTGTATGGTTGCTTGCAGAAAAAACCTCACCAGCAGCCACTTAATATAATCCTTTTAAAGTGGAGAGAGATTTTATTGGAGGAAAGAATTCAGCTCAAGAACATCACTCATCAAATGATCTTGCTTTTGATGAAACTGCTCTATCTGAAGTGATGGTGGCCATGACTGTCCAGTTGACAGCTGAGCTGTTATTGGTCTCTCTGACCAGTGCCTTGACCACCTGGGTAGGGGTCATCATCAAATCACATGACCACAATGTGGCTCAAGTAATTGTAGATGTGTCTGTCTCTGTCGTTGACAATCAACAATGGAAATGTTGCTGCCATTCTGGACTACGTCACCAATGATTATTATTTTGCCCCTTTAAACTAGTGACTTATCCACTGACAGAGGAATTAACAAGTCCACTAACCTGGATTTCTGGCCAACAAAAGCTTTGATGTGAAGATCAACAGGAATATCTTTGGGTGGGAACACTGGAACTTGAAGAGATGACTTTAAATTTTGTTGTGAGGGATGGACAACATGACTTTCCCCCTCAAACACTCCTTCAGCAAATATCATCACAGTCCGGATAATAGTTTCATTGGTAGTTGAAATTGAGAGCTGCACATGTGGCTGAACTTGTTCACTTCCTGGGTTTACCAACAGTGAGGTCTGCAGTTGAGTGCTGGCTGGTATGACTCCCATCTGTGATTGATCCACCTCTTGACCTCCAACCTTTCCAACCTATGATAATTTAGTCATATTATTTGCCTATTTCATTGGCCTGGGGCTTTTGTTAGTTAGAAATGCAGCTGTGACATGACTTTTCCCAACTGAACTATTTGATCAGTACATTTTTGTACGTCACCAACAAATAATTTCAAGCTAGTCCCCCTAAACCTAACTCTCACTCAGGTGGGAAGAAACAAAGAGTGAATGAGACCCCAAGAAAGATGTCACTTACTCAGTCAGAACAAATATCAATAATTAAAGTTTTGAACAGTAATCACTGTGATGGAAATTTACTAATAAGAAAAACTCAGACATAACCATATTGAACACTAGCACTGGGCTGATGTCACAAACAGCCAAAAAAAGGGCTGAAACTAAACATAGGACTCCCTTTAAATTACATATTCTACATAACACACACTATTCAAAGTCAAATGACATGTGACATTAGCTTGTTTCAGTAGTAGACTGAGGATACAACAACTGCTCATCCCATCTTTTCTTCTTTTGCTTCTGTCAGTACAATGATGTTGCTCTCCTCCTATTTATATTGTAATTAACTAGCCAGTAAGAGGATGCTTGGAGTACTGGCAGCCATGATATCATCACATCCCCCACCAGGAACAAGATTAAATTAAATTTCTTACCTTAGCATTTTCTTCATAGTTTTTCAATTCCAACAATAAATTCTGTTTTCTTTGTGCCAAGTCTCGTAGTGCATCTTGTTCAACATTGACATCCATCAAGTTGCCCTTCATTTCAGCAGATGCTGGCAAGTACCCACGAACTGAGATGGGTGAAAAAAAAGAAACATGAGAAGACAATTCTCAAAGGCAAGAAGAAAACAATCAAACCCCTATCCAGCCCCCTTGCAAACCACTCCTTTTTTCCCTATCATGCTTTTTCTATTGCCTTGTTGTTGGCTCATCAAAGTGCTGAGGATATGAAGCCCACAGGTTACAAGCTCCTCTTCAAAACTCGTTAATATAAATAATAATACAAATAATAAGCTTAAAGACTGAACTGGGATACTACCATTTATGAAAAAAAGCCTGAGATCCCACATTAGCTCCCTGACTGGTCAAAAACCTATCGTTTATTGCACCAGGAACCCAATAGAAAGATTAAGATATACTGTGTTTTGTTTTAAGCTTATTTAATGAAAGCAATAAACCACACTTTTGATCGCTTTACCAGCATTAAAATGCACACATCCTGCATGGATTATTACACCAGTAAGCCAAAAGGAAGCGTGTTCTTTTAGTTATTAATAACCAACTATTATTTCAGCTTCCAGAGATTTAAAAGTAGTTTTTCCTCTTGAGATGTCTTCAATATAAGTGTGACTGACACAGCATAACTCAACATATGCATTAAAATTACCTTCCCCCTCTGCTGAACAACAAATGAGTTCCACTTTTCCATCCATACGATAGTCTCCTTCAAGTATACCAGCAACAGCAGCAGAGAAGTTATCTTTAAACACCACCTCCCCTGTTCTGTCACTACGAGCATCAATCTAAGAATGTGCAAAAGGAGTTTACAAAATGTGATGATAATAAAACAAACAAAGGAAGTATTAGGAATAGTTGACTAGTGCTATTCTTGGCAAAACATTAATTACTAGCATGAAGACATTTAGCCAATTTGTGGGCTCTGAACAACAAGAAATTTTTTCTTATCATGTCAATGCAGTGTCAAGCTGAGAGGCAATAACATTTAAGGAAATATCCATTGATGGGATATTATGGGAAATGTAAGGCACAGAGTAAGAATTTTCTTAACAATCGGGAACTTCTAGATCAATGGAGATCATTTCTTTTACTCTTTTGACATCAATGTTTGATGCATGGGTGATATTGTTGGGTGAAATGAGATGTTAGTGACACTCTTTGGGGCCGATTAAGTGTTGATTAAGTGATGAAGTGTTGAGTAAATAGGGAAGTAGAAGATCACTGTAAGACACTGTCCTTGACTGACCCATTTTACTATGCTAGAGTTGCTAGACATACGTTTATTTTTTTCTTTTGCAATTAGACAGAATATCTTCACCTTTCCATTGGACCAACCAGTGATGAGCTCTGGCACTCCATCAGAATCAAGATCAAAACTGTGAATGGTGATTGCTTGGTTTTTTGACTGAAAAAAGAAAAAAAAATTAAATTAAAAAAAAAGGATTTAAGGAGGGATGATTGTGCCAGGGAATGGAAAACAACCACAACTGCCTGAGAGGATTGGCAGAAAAACTGCATGTTAGTATAATTCTTATGAAATAAGCCAGTGATAACTGTATTAAACCATACTTTCTTGAGAGGAACACATTGTTTATCAAAAGCCTTTCATTCAAAAGTGTTAATTTTACTTAGTCCACTTTTGATTGTTAAAACAATCAATATATTTAAAAAAAACTGATAAATGAAGTCTTCTCTAAGTATTGCGTTGACAGGACAATGATCAAGCACTTTTCCAAGTGTTTCGTAGACTAAAATTTTGTCAATTCTAACATTGTGGTCTGAGTTATGTACAAGGCAAATGAGCAAAATTAAGGACTGAAGGAATAAGTAGGGTACCAAAGTTAAACAGTTTACACAATCACATGGGAAGAGATTGTGTGGTGATTACAAAAGCTTGGGGCAAATGCAGTTGTCTTGGCAGCAGGTAAAATGAAATGGCCAAAAAATAATAGCTGACAAGGCAAGGTATTACAGGGTTCTCAATAGATTTTTAAGTAGGAGGTGATCACTGATAAAGTAGGAGGCCTCGTTACCATCTTTCACCGTGAACGCCTGGACTCAAGTAAAATGGCATTCATCGATTGAGTCCAGGACCGTAAGCAAGTTTCCTGGTTTTGTTTGGATCACAGTCATGCAAGAAACGAAAGAAAAATTTGGAAACAACTCAAGCAAACTTGCAGAACAAAACAAAAAAAAGAAAAGCGACTTAAACACAAAGTAAGCGGCTATAAATCCCAAAGTAAGCAGTGTTCAATCGCTGGGTGCCGCCTTCTATTGAGAACCCTGTATTAGACAACTAACAGTACTGTTACAAGTGTCAATAGTGAACCTGTGAGCTAATTTGAGTTTTTTTTTTTAAATAACATCTACTTTGTACCTTTATTCTCCAGTATCTTGCTGTCTTGTCATAAACTCCCACAGTACCATTTCCCAAAGCATAACCAAATCGAGATCCTCGGATTGGACATAGAGAGGTTACAGACTGTGGGCAGAAGATGAAAAATAATTATAAGAACAATGTTCACAATTGCAGGATATAAAATAGGTTCTTGAAAAGAGATAGATGCACCCACCTCAGTTTCAGTCATTTCTGCGATAATTTCATCTTCTTTAAAAACTCGGATGTCAAAATCCTCTGAGCCAACAAGTAACTGTGCAAATCAAAAATATAGTGATTGTAAAATTGTAAAGTGTGAACTTAATCCCGCAGAAAACTTACCATTAACCCTTTACCTCGCACAAGTGACTATGAGATAATTTTCCCGAACAATATCAATACAATATCAAGCAGACAAGTGATGAGAATAAAGTAAAATATCAATTAGGGGATTATCAGTTGATCCAATACCAAATTTCCATAAGAATTGTATGGCAGACAGTAAGGAGAATTACTAATGAGATCTTGAGAGTAAAAGGGTTAAGGAGAGAAATTCATGAGTGCCTTGATAGAGTGCTCACATTTGCAAAAGCCACAATTGAGATTATTTGACACTTTATCAACACTGCAGACAAAATACCTCTGCCAATCCATCACTGTTAAAATCACACATTGCCAAGGAGCACACATTGTCTCCTGTCACCTATGGATGCCACAAATGGGACAGAAGAATAAAGTTTAGTATTTTTGCTACTGCTTTTACATGTCTGCCAACAATAACAACAATTACATTATTTTGTAAATGGATTATTTACTTTTCTATTAGCTTTTAAGATGCAAAACCTCCTCTATATATTCATTGTTAAATACATTGGTTAATGTTTATGGTGGTGATAATCGATAAGTATCATAGTTTGCCTTATATGTACTCACTTTCAAAAACAATAACAATATTGTAACAATATTGTAACATTTTGACTGCATACTCAAAGCAAGAAAAATAGACCTCTTCAACTCACGTTTCCCTGACTGGATTGGTGCTTTATTTAGTTTACAAACAGATGTAAGTTACACAAAATGACAACTCAACTCCCCATACCACCCCCCAGTTATTGCTATATAAGGTGACAAGCAACCAGTTGACTTCAACTTACAATTACCAATACTTACTGTCCAGAATTCGTCATTGCCTTCAAAGTCAAATCCTTGAATTGAACAGTTTCCACCCACTATCGCCAAAGGATTCTCAAAAGATCCAAGTCTGCCTGTTACAATTGCATTGGCTCCATCTGCAATCTAAAAATATTGAACAACCAAATGAACTTGTACCATTAAAATTAGCATTCAATAACTGTAACTGTTTCTCCCACAGCACTTAGTACTAACTGATTTTTTTTCTTCACTACATAATCCAGTTTAAATTTTTATCCTTTTTTCTACAAATTTTTAATACAATATGAATTTGTTTTCAACTTTTTCAATACCATTTTTTTTAATACTGTAGTTCATTTTACTTAGTAAATAGACTTGATTGAGGGAAGAGAATGGGGCCTATTCAAAGGGAAAAAGGCACACAGTGTGATTTTGTAAATGGGAGGATGCACTTCAACTGGAAAAGAGAAATTTAATTCAGGGGGAGTGCTAATTTGAGGATGTATTGAAATGAGACCATGAGAAATTCTGCATAATTTCCTGATTTTTTTTCTTCTCTACCAAATGGCCACCTAGGCCCTAATTCAGTATTGCCACTCAGTCACTTACATCTTTATAGAACAGGTCAGAATTGTTCTCCACATCATAGGCTAAGAAGTTTGTGGGTGTACCAACAAGAAGCGTGTCACATCCAGAGGTGTTCAAGGGACCAGCTGCAACAGCAGAAACTTGTTGGTTGATGTTTAAAATACTAATGTCAGTATCATGACTTGCAATTGCTCTGCCTCCCTGAAGGGTGCCACTGTGGGGATTGTGGATAAAAACCTAAATACCAAAGATCATAAGACAGATTATTAAATGACATTTCATTTAAATGTGCATGGAAAATTAATTGATTAATACAAAAGATCTAATGAAAGAAATTATGATGAAATGAAGTGCATCTCAAAATACTCCCTCTTGAGTCCAGTTTCTAAGAAACACACATTAATGTAGAACATATTCTCTCAATGTCCCTTCTAATTATCTCATAAAAAGTCTTGGATATATCATATGCTATGATCCTATACTTCAAATCAATTTTGAATTAATTTGCCTTTGTCTAAACAAATTAGTTCATCATAATGCAATCTGAAACACAAACATCTTGATATTCATTTTCGGCATTCTTGATCAAACCTCCCTATATGCAGAAAAATTGTCAAAATCAAGCCTGCAGTTTGCCAAGTTGTTCCTCGTGGCTCAGTTAGAGGATCACCTGCCCATGAAATTAAGACTTCAATGGAGTTGAATCTTCAAAAAAGATTCTGATTTTTTCTTTCTCGCATGTTATGGGAAAAAAAGTTTAACAGCTCTAACTGACTAAAAATTGTCAAGCCTTTCAAGACTCTCAATTTGTAATATACGAAAGCAGTGATAAGTCCAAACTTCAGCTATCTTCGATTAAAAAATGGCCACCATATCAGTATTTTTGGCCGCCAAACAGAGCCAAACGGAAAAAAGTTTCACTGTTGTTTATTGCCGACATCAAATAAATAGGACCTAGTCACCCGGTATGTTTTACACAGTTGCTCGCGTTGCTTCCTGTTTCAGACGAGTGCACGATTCCTTGTTTCAGTAACTATTTATCCAATTTGGATAAGCCAGAAAAAAATACCATATTTCGATAATAATAATAATAATAATAAAAAAGTACCAAAACAAAAATCGCCAACCTTTCCAGCAGTTGTGCCTGCTGTCAGACATGGATGTCTTCCATCGTAACGACCTAACGCTGCTGTTCGAGGATGAATCTTATGGCCCAGTTTGAGGGTAAAAATAGGAACAAGCATTGCAAGTGAATCTTTAGTTATATAGAAGGGTGGGGATTGATCACATAATCGTTATTTGTGAAAAGGAAAATAATTATTGAGCGGTTGCCATTCGCCTTAGAAACTGTAAATTATTATTGCGCAGTAGGCACCCTGCGCATTAGTTTTGGTCTGTTGTACGCTGATCCGAAATTGTGGACGCAGAGAAAGTCGCAGATAACGGGTTCCTAATGTCTTTTGCGTTCGAGATCTTGCTTTAATAGTTGAGTCTAGGAGTGTTGAGTTCAGTTTGGCAACACACAACATCACCCAGTCTTATGTAACACCTCGATCGAGGAAGCTAAGGGGAATCGGATTTTTTTTTTAGTGTTTTAAAGTCAAGATTCTCCTATCTCAACGACGTGATAATAAATAGAACGCAGAAGCGAAATTTCCGATAAACGATGAAGTTGGATAAGTGCTGAAGCTCTGGCTGAAGCCTTGTCAATGTCAGGTGTTAGGTTCAAAAGATCGTGTTTACCACGTGTCGTGCCGAGACAAAAAGTAAAGTTAGAAAATAAACTCGATTAGCTCAGCATTTTTCGTCGATCGCAAGCCCCACGTTTGCTGTAAAAACGCAGTAGATTGTATGACCTTGCAAATCGAGCATCCTTTCAGAAAGTTATAACACGACAATTTTGGCCGCAAAACCAGCTTTCTTTGTCTTTTGGCGACGAAAACATCTTCTTTCACATCAGTTCGTGGTAGGTAAATAGGAAATGTGTCCCCAAGGAATTGACGTACATTTTGAACTTGCTTCGACCAATCGAAACAAAGCAAGACATGACCTTCGACCAATCACAGGAAAGCAGTCGTGGCGGTCTATTTGAAGCGTGAGTGATTCAAACCGCATCTCGGTTTACAACAAAAAAGAAGGTCGAAGGATTGTAGGGTTCCTTCTGGGTTTTTGGCTCAGGATTTCTACGGATTTCCTCGAGGATGGCAAATGCCTATTTTTATCGGTAAGGATTGTTGCTCTATGCCATGAATAATCATTATATTCCCTGATCTGATCGCGAAAGTTGAAATTATTTGTCATCCATCATGTCGCAATTTCCGCGCCATTTTTGAAATTGATGTAAGAACGCGATGCAAAGCATTTTTGTAAGATCAAAATGAAAACCATTCCCAAGATTTCATATAATTGTTTCTATGATACACCTTTGTTTATACGCTACCAAGTCTAGTTTGGTGAACCAGATTTCTACCCTTGATTTGTCTGTTGACTGCAGTGTTTACTCATGTCTTCAGCCATCCTCAGACATTCGTCAGGTCGATCGCGATTTAAGTTACAGATTTAACAATTTAGCACTCGTTAGAAATCTTCACGGACCGTTTATAATTAACTGCTCCTTTTTAGTGGAAAATACAGCGAATTTGTTACCAACGTTTACAATCATAAATTATACTAAATTTGCAAAGTCTAAACCTCCGATCAATTTGCTTGCGCGATCGATCGATGCGGCCTCGTTTCGAATGTTCTGTTGTAAGCGAGGTTTTGTTCAGATTGCTTTAGGATTTTAAATTCATTTAATTGCATATTTCTCTCACTTGGAAATTCGGAAATTAGATTTTCACACTTTTCATTTAGATTCTCATCGGATGGTGAAAATACAGAGTGTTATTTTAGGTTTTGAAGTGAACATCCGGGCTTTACGCGTGCTGTAACACGTGCAAATTCTCTTTGATTCGCTTTGCGTCTTCTGCCGCGTCTGGGCCTCTTTCGCTAATACACGGAGGTTCGTCTCTCAACGCTAAATATTGACAAATCCCTTTTGTGAAGTACGGAATATGCCTAAAGGCCCCTCATGCAGAAATGTTGCTTCTTCTTAAGGCAGCAGAGTCGGTTGCAAGGTAAGTTAAATCCGAAAAGAAACCTTTGCGTGTAATTAGACATTTTTTTTAGTAGAGCGAAAATTTCGATGCCCCGATCAGGGGTCATTTCGTCTCTACTGATTACGCGACAGCTCTGAGGAGAAGGGGGGTTTAAAGTGCGTAACTATGGTCATGAATGTGTTTCTTTTTTTGTTTATGATTTAGAGGTTATAATGTTCCCGTAGAGGAAGAACCATCGTTGAGGGCTCAGCGGCGAAAGAAGAAAATCAACAAGGGAAGATGGACGAAAGAGGAGGTTGGTTTGCGCATTTAGCTCTTGCAATCCTTTATATTTCACAACTGTTTCGGCAAATAGGGTTTGAATGATCTTAAGGTATCATTTAATCGTTTAATTTAGTTGTAATACTGCAGTTATATGACGGTTTGTCTCGCATTTCGCTCATTTTGTTGCATAGCCCCGGTGGATGTTTTCTAACGCATAGCGCAAGAATTGACCAACGTTAGGTTAATTCATTCATAACAGTTTGTTTTGGCGACGATTGTTTTTCTCGTGTTTCTCGTATTTGGCTTCGTCAAGAAGTTAATGCAGCATTTACCGGTTTGTTAAGCGTTTTAGGTATGATAAGTGTAAAGTTGATGCGCTCTTATCGCCGGACGGCCTAACAAAACGTACGCACTTTTAGGTAACCAAGCATGCATGTTGTGAAGTCCATTTTAAATCTCGAATGTCCGTTGAAAAAGATCGTATTACTGCATGAGATATGGCTCGTACTCGCATTCTATCTCTTTGCAGCCTTTATCTGGGCGTTATCATCGCATTTCTTTAAGTTTAATCAAGTGTTTGTCCCAAAATTGTGCAGAAGATCACTCGTTCTCGAAGGCAATGGCAAATCGGGGAAAATGAAAGATGTACACAATTTGTAATTAAGGCAAATTTATGTATATGAAACGGAATAAAGCAAATGCGTTCCGTGCCGACTATGTCTCGAGGGTGTAACTAATAAGTTTGTTGTACTTTTTTGGCATGTAGAACTAGTGCAAGGCCTTCTGCTGAACCTCCGTAAAATCAAACAGTTCAGTGCAGTTTTTATGATGCAATGAAGTACGAGTTATAAACATTTTTCTGGGTAGTCTGTTTTACACCTAATTGATATCAATTTGAATAGTCCTGCCGTCATGCCTGTTGATGGCGTCCATGTTCGATTGCGCAGTTATTTGGAAGATTTCATATTTCGTTGTAAAAGTCCTCGGTCTGCATTCGTTGTCTTGGAGGAGATAATTTGCAATTTTAAAAAAGTGTAAAGGTGTTACTGCATGTCGTACATTTTGTGTACACTAGGATGGCACTTTGCATATGAGAGATTAAACGATATTGAATGTTTGATTTCAAACCGATTGAATTTGTGTTGCTTTCTGTTTATAACTTGTTAACACTGAAGCATTGATTTAAAGATGATTATTTCAACTCTGCTTAAAGATAGTGGAGATTGATTGCTTTAAATACATTGTAGACATTTAACTTGGAAGTGCTAATTATTTCTGGGAGTTTTTCTTCTTAAAATGCATTTTTCTTTAAAAAAGTAGTGATGAGTGTTTTCTCTTCAAAGTAACAGACTAGGTCAGCAAAGGCATTTTGACACTAACAGTTCACCTCTCACATGCTTACAATACTATTTGTTTATTTTCCTTCCATTTGTACTGGTGCAAAAACATTGTGTGCTTTGGTGTTTAGCAAAATTTTTGTTTTAACCCAAAGTTTTTTTGCTTCATTTTTGCACAGGGGAAACAGTTGAGCCCTGAACAGTAGAAATGGTTTCATTTCTGCTTTTTCCCCAATTTTTAAATTTATAAATTAGTTTGTTTTGTATCTTCTCAAATTCATGAAGGTTACATCTTTGACAGGCAGCAGAACCTATATGTGCAATTTATGCTAGTCAGTTTGCAATGTGGACCTTACATGATCTCTTTGAAATGCAACAGAGTGAGATGTGCACCAAGTAATAAATAAATAAATATGCATCGTCATTGGATACACAAGGCACAGCTGACTGTCAAAATTCCTTCATATTTGCATCATGCAAAATTTGCAATATAGATAGTACTGTCTTTGTTATATCATTTCTGTTTCAACTTTTGGAGAGATCAGTTTATTGATTTTCACTGGTGTTTATACATAATCCAACAGATGCAAAATTTTAATCAAGGAAATCATTATGGAGGGAATATTGTCTCACTTTAATACCAAACTCTTACAAATAACCTGAAACTTCTACCTTTAGATGTTACAGTATGCTGAGGTAAATACAATAGATATAATTACAAATTTTAAAATTGAACTATTAGGATGAAAAATTAAAGGAACTTGTGGATGATCTTGGAACTGATAGTTGGAAGGAGGTGGCAAATAATTTCCCTGATCGCACAGATGTCCAGTGTCTTCACAGGTGGCAGAAGGTACTAAACCCAGAGCTAGTGAAGGGTCCATGGACTAAAGAGGTCAGTACGCAATTCAGATTGTGACTAATCTTTGTCATCACTGAGATTATGAGATACATTGTATCTCAACAGAAAAGTGAAACATTGGAACATTTTACATTTTAACTTGTTTATAGTACTCACAAATAGTTGAGGATAGTTTCAACTTTCACATGCATTTGAATGTGAGCTATCATGCAGTTTGGACATATTCAAATTTGACATGATAGTGGATTATAGTTTTTGCTGTTAGAACGAACAGATGATAGTAAATTATAATTTTTCTGTCAACAGTTTTGCCAAAAACAGGCTCAAACTGGAATGGCAAATGGTAAAATGGCTAATTAGTTGCCAAAATTTAGTGGAATGTCGGGTAATTCATTCTTACATTGGAACACTTTTTACATTTTCAACTGGTGTTTATCTTCAACTTGCAACTTCTTGACTTAAATTTCAAATGCCACCAATGTTGCCAACCTCCTTGTTTGTTTATGACTACGTGATCTCATTACGTGATTTTGTGAACTATCATCAACTATCATGGACCATTTGAACACAAACATGATAGTTGGTGATAGTGAATGAAAGTTGAAACTGTCACCAGCTATCATAATTATCATGATTGTTTGAAAAGGACTTGATTGTTTGCTAGTAAGGGTTTCAATAGGAGCAAGCAACTGGGAAAATTTGCTGTCTATGTGAGGAAAAATTGCTGCCTATTTTCTCTGAAATGAACAACATTAGAGTGAAGGTCAATCTTGCATTAGCTGCCTAATTCACAAATTTTGCCATCCACATCATAATCTGTTGAAACCCCTGAGCCGGTGATTGAAGATTAAGCTTTTTATAGATAAGCTCCTTCCTCAGGCAAATTCCACATCTGAAAAATGGAAAATTTGATAAACACTGCAGTTTCTAATCAATTATTATATTCAGTTATAAGACTTCTAGGAAGTGGGCATTAGCTAACTAAAGGACTGAAATAATTTAATAAAGGATACAAAAGTAAATGAAAAAGTAAATATGTAAATGTCTGCTGACATTTCCTTGAGAGGGGTCATATTAGACAACTAGGAGTAAGTGTAACTGTAATCCTGATATACAGGAGGATGACAAAGTTGTGGAACTTGTGCGGAAGTATGGACCTAAACGGTGGTCGCTTATTGCTCAGCATCTGAAAGGAAGGATTGGAAAACAGTGTCGTGAAAGGTAAAACTAAATATAAGTTCAATTAATTGTCTTGTGTCTGATTGACCAAACTGTGTAATGGTATGCTATAACAATTTGTAATAGTTAGGATCTGATTTTGTTATATTCCAGATATTTTGCCTTAATATTTTTAGAATTGTGTAACTGGGAGTACAGCTTTCATAGCCATCACAACATTCCTCTTTTAAAAATGGAAGCTTAGAAATAGAGTTTCAATGATTCTGAGCAAAACTCAGAAATAAAGACAGATAAACAGAAGTAAACCAAAAAAATCAATTTATAAGCCAGTTTTTTTTTCCTGTTTTATTTTTGTGTAGATGGCACAATCATCTTAACCCACAAATCAAGAAATGTGCTTGGACTGAAGATGAAGACAGGATTATTTATGAAGCTCACATTACTATGGGCAACAAATGGGCCGAGATAGCAAAATTGTTACCTGGGAGGTTTGTGTCAACTTTTGCCTCAAACTACAACAGGAATTGAGGCTAGGTGGGGTAAAGGCTATGTTGAAGGCGAACTGCTACAATATCCTTAATTGCAGGGCGATAACCATTGAGACAGAGCTATAGCCTTCAGGGACACAACATTAATAAACAATGGTGGGAAATGAATACTTGCTCCAGGAAATGTTGGGAAGGGGAACAAACATGTTAAAGTGGAAAACCATATTGGAGCCTGTCACAAGACATTGCTGAAACCTTTGCATTGACTGGAATTTTACCTTGACTAAATGCAAGGGAATTTCACCAAAGCTGTGTCGGTTGGGGAGGAGGGAGGGGGGTTGCATGGGGCGTTGTTGCATGCCTTTGCACAAAGGGGAAACTGTGATTCCGTGTGGGTAGGGGGTATTGCACGAAAATTTGGTTCTATGAACTGAGTTGATAGTGTTAAAGGGCCACCATTAACCCTTTAACTCCCAGATCAAATTTGTAATTCTCCTTACTGTCAACCATACAATTCTTATAATGTTAGTTCAGAGAATTTAGTATTGGATCATCTAATTATCCCCAAATTAATATATTTCTTTGTTCTCATCACTTATCTGGTTGATATTGTATTGATATTGTAAGGAGAAATTCTGTCTTGGTCACTCATTACTTTTGCTCAGTTTGCAGAGCTACAGTAAGAACATTGTTGTTGATGTTTGATTGTTGCCTAAATCTCTCCACAGGACTGACAACTCAATTAAGAACCACTGGAACTCAACAATGAGAAGAAAAGTGGAAAGTGCAGGATACGATCACTATAGAAAGATCAGATACCATTTGGTAAGGAAACTTAGAGGAGCTTATGTCCCTAAAGGAAGGTAGATCAGTGCATTGTGAATTTAAGGTTGTTTTGGACTTCCTCCATTATAATTCAGGGGTAATCATGCTAGTGTGAGTACCCCTTATACTATATTTAATTACTTGTCCCACCAGCATATGTGTGGTTCTCCATTCAGCGCTGTGAATATTTTGACTACAGTCTGTACTAATATTATGTGAGGCTAAAGCAATTAATGAATTTTTTTCTACACTTTAGTCTGAAAAACGGTACAGCAAAGGACATCTTCTTTCAGCAAAGAAAGGTAAAATATTAAACTGCATTGTAACTGATATACAATAAACTAAATACTCTACCATATGCAGTACTGGTATATTTCTACTGTAGCTGTTACTAGTAACTCATGAACCAACAAATTTTTCTCTCTAATTCCTGGTCAATTTGCCAAATCAATGTGATGTAAAAATGCATGCATCTAAGCTTGGATTTATAGATGTAGCAGAATTTTCTCCTAGGGCTTTATTCCTAAGGTTTTTAGTGTGCAGGAACTCCATTCTTGCTGAAGAGAAATAAATGAACAAATAAGTTATTGCTGGGAAATGTACAGGTAGTAAGGAGCAAATTAGAGCACTTTTCAACCAAAAAGGCAACTAAATAAAAGTTACCATGATGGTTAATCAAAGCAAAGAAGAAATCAAGAGTGTGTTCATTAACTATTAGCAATTGAATGAAATTCTGGCTACAGTGCAAAATTCTTGGGTGGTAAATTGTGATAGCTTGTCAAGGAATGAGCTAATTTTATTTGAAGTGTGACGCTGTATTTAGTTAATTTTTAATCCACTGCATTTCCTATTAAAAAACCTTAATTTAAAGAGAATTCTGAATAATAAGCATATATGTATGTAACCATATTTGAAAAATTTGCTCCAAACACGACTGCTTTCAGTTTTGCCATGATTGTTGGGAATGTTAAAAGTAAAAACTGCGGTTACTATTGTTAATTTTTGCAAAAAATCAGTCCTTAAAGAGGAATCAATGACATACTTTTACTAGTTATCAAATTTGCACTCCAGTTGCAATGAGGCATATGCTTGTGAAAGGTATTGTAATTTTTTTTTCTCTTGCAGATAAAAGGAGGAGAGAGGAGACAGTTGATCCTTCATCTAATGATGATTTACCATCAGTGGTTGAATACAACAGCCATCCAGGCACTAGAAACAGAAGTAGCTCAGACTTAACAAACATTAAACCAAAACCAACAAGTCAAGATACTCTTCATTCTATGAGCAGAAAGAACAACAATAATGGAACAAACCCAAGCCTGATGTCGCCCTTTAGAAATACGTTCATATTGTCCCCAGAGTCTTCAGATGCTCTGCTAGATTCGGATCCCTCCTCTTGGGGTGATATCAGCTCATTTGACAAGGACAGTTGTGTAGGCAAGAATTTGGCATTGTCAAAATTGACTTCTCCTGGAACAAGAGGTAAGGCTAGAGTTCTGTCTCAGTTATGTAATGTGCTATACTTTTGTCCACCTGCAAACATGGAACCAGTGTGTAAATACCTAAAAACAAACTTTTAGAAGTGGTTATGAGGTACTTTGTAATTAACAATAATCCCATGTAAAGTCAGATGATCTCTCTAGACTTGTAAGCTGTCTTAGCCTCATTGTTTAGCCTGTGCATTTACGAGGAAAACTTGACTGGCATCAGAAAGTAGTGTTTTGCCCTTAGAGGTGTTGCTCTTCAGCTTACTAATAGTGTGAAGAGTGTCAAATGGGGCACAGATAAATTCCTTTGATTCAACTCAAGAAGTGGTCTATTCTTTGCACTCACAGTTTGTTGTCAAAGGTACAAATAATTATTTGATGCTCTTTAGAGGGCTGTGCTATAGAAAAACAACTAACTTGTTTTAGGTGGCTTGTGTAACTTTAGCTTTACAAAAAAGCAGCATCAGGCAGCTATAACCTGTGTTGAGATAGGTTAACATGTAACATTTTAATTATGGCAATAAGCAATCACATGAACAGTTCAATAAAGAGGGAATAAACTATTAGGCTATTCCAGAATATTACAAGAACACAGGTTTGTTGAAAATCTCTATTCAAACCTTATTACACCTTCATTATTAATGATGATTCCTGGAATTAAAGCAAAGGTTGAAAGCCACTTTAAGATAACTTACCAAAGAGCACAGTGTTAGATTTATGGTATGTAAAAGTTAGTTCTATGTGTATGTAACATTAATGTTAAGGAAAAATTGCCTCCTCAGAATACAGATTTGATGGGAATTCTATTGCCAGTCTTCAAACAGATGGCGGGTGAGTTTTTGGAATGAACTGCTTCCCTTCAAGAACAAGAACATATTCAGTGACCTGTGTGGAACATTTTGACCCTCAAGAATGTCTAGTGTCTAGTATCACCCCTAAATCACACATACAGGTCATGAGAATAAAGGAAATGATCACCAACTGAAAAAAGATCTTGATTGTTAAACAAGTTCTTGTCAGCACCTCAGGAAATGTCTAGAGGACTTTAAGGATAATATTTGTACCAATGTTAGGGTGTAAAGAGTTAACATTGATTTGCATCGTCCTAAACATTGGCTGATCAGTGTTTATTTAGTAAGGAGAGATGAAGGCATGTCCACAACTTGCAAAGGTCTTCTGTTTTTATTAATTTTTCTTCCATTTTCAGATCTTTAATACCTATTACTTCACCTGTAATGCAGAACAGGTTTAGCACACCTCCAACTATTCTTAGACGAGGGCGTAAAAGAAAAGTATCCTTCACAAATTGATTGACTCAAGTTTAAAAAATTTAATTTTTTTTCTACTGCATTCTTTGTTTTTTATCAATTTGTTGTGTGAGGCATAATCCTTAACCCTATACCTTCAGTCTGCTGACCATGATTTCAGTCACAGTGTCAATACAGAAGTATCTTTCAGCAGTCCTAAAGGGGCCACCCCCATCAAGCTCTTGCCATTCTCACCTTCGCAGTTCCTTAATTCACCTGTAAATTCAAGCAAAGTTCAGACGTCAACTCCAGCTTGTGAAAAAATTCAAGTCAGTTTAACAAACACAACACTGCATACTCCTGGTGTACTAGAAGCAAGCTCAGGGGAGGATCCTTTCCGAACTCCACGCATCAGAAGAACTTTATTATGTGTATCTCCACGCACTCCAACACCATTTAAAAATGCCCTGAAAGTGTTCAATGACACGAAAATGGCACATGTGAGTTGGATATTTGAAGATAACAGGTTATGTAACTTATGAGGTTATGTAACAGGTTATGTAACTTAGTGCCCTTACAGCTTTCATGGCACAGCTCAAGTGGTTGATTATTATTAGAGCACTCTATTCAATCACTTTTCTTCAATATTCTCTAAATATTTTGGAATGAACAATAAATGACAGTGACAACAGCCTTCTGAGTAATAACCATGGGTGACAACCCATGTCAAGTTTGTTAAAAGACCCTGCTCTCCTCAAGATGTTATTTTTTTCAGGGGCCAGGGAAGGGGGAAATTTTCATACAATTGGGACGTGGATTGTAGCCACTATTTCTCCTACATGTATATGACTTGGTTGATGCTGAGATGAAGGGACTTTTTAATGAACACCTTTTAGTTGGTGTAAATTTTTACCCCACTAGATACAGGTATCTTTGGGGTAGACTCAAGGGGCTTTAATAAACTTGCATTCTGTATTATGGAAAAATGTTGCTCTGGAGTGACAGACATAAATCCAGCTTTTACAGCTGTATCATGTTTTGAAACTTACCAGTTGTAAATTTTTTTTTTCAGACACCAGACAATTTTGAAGCAGATTTCAATGAAATCATGAAACGGGAGGAAGAAGAAAGTGGTGTTCACTTATCCTGTAGTGGGGGAAAAACATCCTCTAGAGTACGGACCTCCCTTGAGGAAAAGTATGCCAAGATGAGCAAAACAACATCAGCACCTACTGCCAATGGATCAGAAGAACAACCAAGTGTGATGGAACAAGAACAAAGTTCTTCAATTGTTGAGTGTGTTGTGGTATGTGATATGAAATACCTCTTTTTGTTATATTTCACTTGTATCTAAAGGGTAAGACATACCTATGACTTCTCTCCAGACAAGTTAACCTCTTTATTTTAGTATACTTTTTCTACTGGTGGTTTTTGCTTGCCTCTGCACTTCAGGGAAAATTGACATGTGCCACAAGTGTTGAGAAATGCTTTGTTTATGTTGTCTTCAGGAGGATTCCGGTGTTGTTCAGACATCAGTTTTACCCTCACCTTCCAAGGATTCATCATTTATCAAACCTTCTGAGATCTTTGGCCAGCATAACCCCTTCGCCACACCTAGTTCTGTGACGTCTGAAACTGGAGTAAGTGGAAAAAACCTGGCTCAAACCACACAGGTTGAACATTTCTTATGCCCTAGTGCTGTGGATTTTCAGGTGACTTTTGGCTCTCAAGTGTTTGCTTTAGACCTCAGCTTGTCACTAAGTAACACTTCCAATGCCATACATTTTAAGACTTCATAACTGTAACTGTGTTGCTGTTATGCCTAAATTTAGTTTGCAGAATAAAGATTGATTATTCTTGAACAAAGTAAGGTCAAAGTAGCAAATTTTAGCACCAATTTTTGTGTTCAAAATGGAATGGGGAAACAACAAAATAATCACTAAAAGCAATTAAAATCCCTCATTAATCCCTTATTAATCCTTTATTAATCTTGGCAGATTATGATTTCACAGTTTCCCTTCAAGAAGTAAACACAGTCCCTTGAATTCTTGCTATGGGCCCAGTTGTTCAAAGGCTGATTATCACTAACCCAAGCTTAAATTTTAATCCAGGTTTTGTTATTTCATCGTTCAAAAGTGGTCTTGGGATAATTTTTTATCCAATCATCAAATTGTAGACCAAATGAATTGTACTGAATTGTCCTTTAAAGCTTTCAGAACTGAAATCTAATTTCACACTCACCAGAGGTTAACTTAACCTAGCCTAAACAACCTGGCCCAGATCCTTTACCTCAGAAAGCATGGTGATGAGCTTGGCTATTAGTAGGTTTATTGTTGACGTGCTTCTTACTATTAAGATCACCAATTTTAAAAGCACCATGTAACTAAATAGGTCTAGAATAATATATAGATTTAGCCAAGCCTAAAAGCGGAGTTCGCATTTTTTTTTCCTGCACTCTCAAGGGTACAATGCCTTGCCCCAGCCAGGACTAGAACCTGGGTTGTCCGACTCAGCGCCCAGTGCACTGACCACTGGACTTCTGAACAAAGCCATGGTGTTTGTGTGCCTGCAGTACAGTGGACCACGCATGTTAAAAGTAGCACCTTGTACGGTCGTACGGTCGTACAACCAAATTTTTTCGGCTTGATGGGTTGCTACTATTTTGTATAGTTATGGGGCTACGCTCTGCTAGCTCTGCTAAAATGAAATATTTAAAATTAGAAGATACATTATTTGTTTCTTCACCATAGCTTTACAGAGGAGAAAAATCTGTGTCCCCCTAGGAATGTAAATGTTTTCTAGTAGCAGATGAATATTCTCATGTGGCTAAATTACTACAATTATATTTCAGCGGCACAGAAGGAAAGGGCATCCCATGCGCATACTGCAATTTCAAGAGACGCCACAGAAATCAGCACCAAAGGTATGGTTTGACTTCTGAACCCAGTTGTTCAAAGGGTAGATAATGCTCTCCACCAGATAAATCACTGTCCATCCGATAAGTGTTAACAAAATGTACTGCACTATCTGCCAGATACAGATTTATCCACTGAACAACCAGAGCCTGGTGCCAACGTTTTACTGACTTTCTGAGCAGAGTTGTAAGAAGTAAAGCCCCTGTAATTGAAGTCTTCCGTAGCTGTAATTAGCTCCTACTTTCTTCTTAACAAACCTTAATCTTTCTGTGGGGTGTTTTATTTTGGCAGCTTGACTCAGCATGGGAGCAGGTAGCATGTGGTAAAACTCCTGATCAACAGCTACTAACTCAACAAGCTCATCAGTTTTTTGCTAATTACCGGCCAGCGGCACGTACACTACACTTCAATACAACTACAGTGGCCTAAACTGAACAGTCTGGTGTGTGTCACTAATTTGCTTTCCTCCTGTGTGAACCCCAGGGTATCATCAGTGAATTAATCTTTGATATTCAAATCTAGATAATTTAATATTTTAAGGAAAAACAGAGTAAATAACTAACCATATAAAGAAAATTGTAGAAACAGAAAAACAGGTCAAACCAAAACAATTAATTTAAAAGCACAGACCTATATAGCTAGATGTAAGGGAAAAAATTTTCACTTTTGCCACCCATATGTGGTTACCAGTCTTTGATGCAAACTTCTTGACAGAAAGATGTAGAGTTCTGGATTTTTTTTTTCTTGTGAGCACTATGGTGAAAGTTGAATCTAGAGAGGTGGGAAGAAAATGTCCACTTCTTTTTTTAAAGTTGATTTTTGATGGAGTTCCTGCACCTCTGAAATTGCTTGCAGTGAAGGTACTCTAACAAAAATTATGATGGATTTTGGTTACTTCATTGTGGAAATTTTGTGGTAGGTGGAACTTTTTGAAGGAGAAAGAGACAACATTTTCTCTGAAGCAAAAATGTGTGGCCAATAATGTAACAAGAGGTATACAAACTGTCCACTTACAACAAGACATTGTTTAGTTTTTGTTTCAGAGTGATACTGTGTGACAAAGTTTTTGATGGCTTTGAATCTATTACTTACTGTAGAATACACGTGAATTAGAGGCTTCCGTAAAATCTGGTGTCATTTTACATACTATGTATACTAAAATGAAGCCACTGATCAGGTGATAATGTGATGGATTCTTTGCAGTGTTGTCTGAAATTGAACTTTTAACTGTTCAAACACTTAATATTAGACCCAAAGTAGAAATATTTTATGTGGTGTCTTGCAAAAGTTTATTTAGCCTGTTCAAGCTGAGATGTAACGTTGGGGTACATATACAGTATATATTCATTCATGCAGACTTGGGAAGATTGTCATTTCTGAGTTGAATTGGCAGGACTTACGATTTGTGACTTGCATATCTCTTGTACCATGCATTGGGACATATTTTTACCTTTGATACATGATAAATCTCTGACAATGTTTGGGAGAAAAGTTTGTTCCTGTATTAACTCTAGATGGGGTCATACTACTAAGCACTTGTCGAAGGTTGAATAGTTCCTTATTGGGTATGACAGATTTAGATTTTTGTTCTTCATAAGAAATTGCAATCTTGCCTTACTCTGTGTGAGAGTTTGGAAGTTTTATCTGATTTAATGGAACTAGGAAGTTTTTCATGGTTGTGACAGATCTATCTCTCGGGTAGGTGAAAGCAATCCAAAAACTGCAGATCAGCTCTGTATTTCTTGGTACACTCAGTTTTGGACTCTAAAATCTTTTTCATGTCTATTCAGGAGAGATTTTCCACTGTTAGTTCTTTGGGTTTCCTGTGACCCTTAGAATATTTCTGCAGATAAGTTTTATATAGTATCACCGCATAAATTCAAAATAATCTCCATGCATTTGTAGTACAGTACATTCAGGAAGGAGAAGAGATTCGTCCAAATATCTACTTATTCAAGTTCACTCGTTTTATTCACATTCTGACTAGAAACTTCCGTCTCCTTCGCAGCCGATCTAGGGTGTGTCACGCAACGCCCATTCTTCTGTGACGAACGTGGCGTGACATCCCCATGAACGGATGAGAAGGATATATCATGACAGCCCTTGTAATTGATAGGTTAACAGTATTTTTAAGAAAAATTAAAACATTTTTTCCTTTTTCACGAAAACGAAGCGTGCTTGTAATAATTGACAATAAGCAGATCTTTGGTAGAATTGCAAGCAGCGAAATTGTAGAAAATGATAGGAATATCATTAGATCAAAATTAAATGTAGAAAGTTTAAAGTAGCTCTCGAACCATTTGTGACTTGTATAAGAGGAATAATATTAGGTCTAATAGCTCTCCATATGGTTGTTAGAGGTATGTCTTAGAGTTAGTATTAAGCACTGTCAATGATAGAAACGATGTGTACGCGTTGGGTTATTTTTTAAACCATTTTTTCCTTGTAAATATATTGTTCTTTTTATTTTGTACAGAAATAAAGTATTTCCAAATTCTTCTTTTGGTTTTGTTTTTTGCATTTTGTTTACCTGTTTGATTGGATTCCTTACTTTATCTTTACTCTTTCCCTTTTGCTTGCTAGGAAATTATAATAAAATCCCCCCCCCCACCTTTTATTCAAATTCTTTTACAAAAGTCCCTGGTTAATGGCCGTAGGCGATAGCCAGATGCAGGGCCGGAAGAATCTGATTCGGCCCCACGAGGTCAGATGCACTCAGAAGAAAGGAAAGAGCAACAGCCATGTAATGAATTGCTTATTGACTAAGTAAGATCGGGTCGGACGTGAAAATATATGGCTCTCGGTCATATTGAATGGACGTCGCAGCGCTCGTACCTTAGTTTCCTTCTCATCCGTTTTTCGGTCTCGTCTCGGGCGCTCTCTCCACCATCGAGAAAGCGCGTTGCCTGATGAGTCGGTACCTCGGCCTCGAGCCAACAATCTTTAGCCGGCCCTTCCATTCAATTATCTATTACTTAAAGATTGTAACGAGTGCCATTTGCCAATCACCTCACACAAGTCGATCATGATACGATTGATAAAATGGAAATTTAGGACACGGCCGGCGTGAAATTCATGATGCGTCTGTAATGTAAACAACGTGGTTGCAGTTGTTCTTTTAATTACCCAGGTTGAGTGCTTTGTAAGATCCTTAAATTTTATTACGCGCGATCGCGGACCTATAATTTGGGGTGAATCGACCGCGAGAGCCTGGGTTATTAGGAAGGGACATGGAGGTAGAGGTGTAAGAACGTATTTTCCTTCATTAATTTCTTTTTAAATTGGTTTCGATGGCGAAGAAATTCAAGCTGTCAAATGACCGTGAGCTTTTTGATTCGTTTTTTCCTGGACTGGTCGATGATATTGTGAAGGAGAACGAGAATGATCCGGAAACCGGAGAAGCAGCTCGACATATGCGTGAGGTAATATTGAAATTGAAAGTAGCAAGTCCTCTATAAACTTAGTCAGCGATCTCTGTGTTTCAAAAAGTCACTATTTGGTGCTAAATAGCAATCAACCCGCCCCGAAAATTAACATAATCCTAAAATATACTGTTATAAATTCTAAAGAAAAGCCAAGAAAGGCCATCAACCTTGTTAGTCCGGCCTTAGACCATGTTGTTAAGATGAAACCTTCATGGTCCAGCCCCAATCATATCAGATAACAAGTGGATTCCTTTTTTGGAGATTTTAATTCGATTTTTCTGTAATTATTGATGGGTGTGTGTTCTTATTTCTGCCAGGTATTGGAATATAATGTTCCTGGAGGTAATTTACAATTCATTCATTTGTCATTTTATGTACCCTAAACTTTGCACCTGATCAGGATCAGCAGGAAATGTCTTGAGAAACCTAGGGTTTTCAGTTTGGTTGTAAGGGTATAAGCTTTTTTCTCCTCACCCATCTGGTATTGTAAGCATTGACTGTTTAGTTTCCAGAGACTGTTTTTCAAGGGGATGGAAAATAATGTTGAAAAACCTTAAAATAATAGAGAATTTCCCTTGAACCAAGCAACCAAAACTATCACAGGATTGAGTTAGGCAAAGATTATTACAGACATGACTATCCTCAATGATTTCTGTTGGAAGACTCTCCATTACAAACTCCCCCTCCCTACCACCCTTGCAAGTTCTCCCCCTGAAGCAAAACAAGTTCTCCCCTCATTTTTCGCAGTTTTTCCTGGCCACCTTTGTTTGTTTGCCCCCAAATGTTTCACCTTGTTACAGCAGAACATATTCCTTTTTTGTAAAAATTGTAACATATTTTGGTCAACTTGCAATTTTCTTGCAAAATCATGAAAAAGTTCAATCAACATGCAAATTCTAAGGCATGTCTACTGCATGAGTAAGGCTAAGATGTTACATTGCATTTACCCCTCAAATACTATGAGCATTTTTTTGTATATAAGTTGTCCTTTTAAATTGTTTCTGTCTGTTTTTTTTTGTTGTTGTTGTTGTTCCTTTTCTTTTAAAGAAGGAGAAAAATAATAAGAATTATTGAGGATTTCCTTTTATTGACGTGAAGCAACATTGTGTTTTTCTCAAATACCTTATGTAGGAAAAAAGAATCGTGGCCTTTCTGTGATTGGATCATTACGGCACCTTATTAGTCCTGATAAGCTAACAGAGACAGATGAGAAGAATGCAATTATACTTGGTTGGTGTGTAGAGTGGGTGAGTTTGAAAAATTCACTTGTTTTGAATTAAGGGTCTTTTGCTATGATGTTTTTTCTGTTTCCATAGATTTCAGGGTTCCACATGCATGTTTGGTCAAATTGGTATAATGTGAAGCTGAATTATATATCCTAGTAGTATTTGGCTATTTATAAAAAAAAGCTGACTGACAAGTTTTAGTGACTTGACACAAACACTGGTAAACCTGATACGACAATAAACTCACTAGGCTCTGTTTGCTGATTGTTTTATAGTTACAAGCCTTCTTCCTGGTTGCTGATGATATCATGGATGAATCATTGACAAGACGAGGCAAGCTTTGCTGGTATAGAAAGGTGATCTTAGATCAAATATAAAGGAAACTTGTTTCAAGAGAAACAAGTCCTTCTGGTTTGCCTATTGAGATAAGGGGAAACCTTTGTTGCTTTGTGGTTAATGGACTAAAGACCTCAAATTGAGAGGTCTGGATGTAAACTCTGGTCAGGGTCAGTCACATTGTGTGTGGGTACAAAACACCCAACTCTTAAGCCTGGTTTTGCTAGCAAGACAAGCAAAAGGGCAAGCACAAATTCACACATTAGGAAAATTATCATCATCATAGCAGTCCATTAGGGGCAACAGTGACTGTGTGGACCTTGTTAACCTGGGCAACCATTTCATGAAACTGCTTGCAAAGTGTTTAATTACCCCTGGCTTTTGCTGGACTAGGGGCACATTCTTGACAGATATTATCAGTGGCAAGGACAGACTGACTCCAGTATCTGTTGCAGTGACTGACCAGATGATTGGTTTGTTTATCTCTGCTCTTTGTGTATTACATGTCATAATGCACTGACTGGCAAAAGTACATCATGGACCTTTCGACAGATGTGTTGATCATCTACCAGAATGTCCAGACTCACCCTGTGTAACTGGGAGTGGTCCACCTCAAACATTAAGACAGATATTGTTTTCAGTTCTGTCAGGATGCCCAGTTTCACCCTCCACGCCCTCTAAGGGGCAGGTTTGCCGGTTGAATCCCTGACTTCCTGTCCTGTGACACAGGTAGTACCGGTTTTCATGGTTATTCAGTAGCAAGCAAACCAATGCTTGACCTAACATGAGATATGTCAAAGGAAAACTAAAATTACTTAAGTCTAGAGCTAGATCTTTCTGTGTGGGTTTTCTTATACCCAAGGTCACATGACCAGTTTTCCTAATTTGTTGAAGTTTGAGATTAGAAAAACAGCCATCTTGATCTTTTTCCTTACTCTTTTTTGGACTTTGGACTAATACATTACAACTAGTACAATAAAAGCAAAAATTTCTGATCTTTGTTCTTGTTCTTGTTCTTGTTCTTGGGCTTGTGTTTATGTTTACATCAAGGCCATTTCACAGTGAAATATGAACTGTTGTGCTTGTGTTAACTTTATGCTTGCATTTGTGCTTGTGTTGCTAGTGAAAACCAGGCTTTCTAATTTGTCCTTCCACCCCAGTGAACTGTCAAGAAGACCTGAGAAAATAATAACTGGGTAGCAACTATTTGCTTCTAACTGTAAAGAGGGGTGAGGTCTGCTGGAGATATTGTCCTTCTTGCCCAAAGGCCAACTTCACAAATATGAAAGTGCTCTTTGCATTAAGGAACGCTACTTGAGAAGCAGTGAAAATAAGATGCGAAAAAAAATTCAAGCCTGCATCTGTGATACCAAAGCAGTGCTCTACCAACAGAGCTAACAAGCCAACTGGGAGCTGGTCCCTATGTTGGTTCCAAATAAACCCGTTAAGTGATGAGTAAATAACTGTGAATATTGTGTGAACAGTAGACAAAGATGTGAATATGAAAGCGATTTTCACCAACTTCAATTGACTTTATTTCAAGGTTGCAATAATGTCCTTATCTGTTACCTGATCCGAGACTTGACTGTTAAGGAGTTCCTTTTTTTTTCTTCTCTTTTTTGGTTACTGTGCGAGATAATTATTGTTTTTCTTTTTCCTCTGTGTAGACTGGAATTGGGAATATTGCTATCAATGACTTTCTCCTCATAGAAGCCACAATATACAAACTGCTAAAGAAACATGTATTCCAAGAGCCATATTATGTTGATGTTTTAAATTTATTTCATGAGGTTAGTACTGAGATCACTCAATACAGGTTTAAAAATGTTAAACACAAACTAGAAATGTGTTTAAAGACTGTACATAATTATGGATAAAACCTGAAAAGTCAGTAAGTACCTTAATAAATAAATTCCAGTTAAAGTGCAGTTGAAGTAATGTTTGTTGCAAAACAGAATGTCATTTCCTTAAAATACTAATATTAAACTTTTGAAGAGAGTAACTTTGTGGGTGTGCTTTCCCAGTAATTCAGTTTGAAGAAGCTTGTTTTTCTCACTGGCAGACATTTTTATCATGGGTAATTGAATCAATGGCTGACATTTTTTTGTGGATCTGCTTCTAAGGTTACTTATCAAACTGCAACTGGACAAACATTAGACCTTATCACCAAGCCTGGCACAAATTTTGAGAATTTTACCATGGAAAGGTATTGTAGACACTTTATGACTGAAATTAGGATTCAATGCCAAAATTGCAAACAATGCTAAAACTGAAAACTTACAGAGAATATAAAAGATCCTATCTTAACACAAAGATTTTGAAGACATCAAATGACAGGAGTTATGTTTGCCATTTGCTAAAATGCAGCCAAAGGAAAAGCAGACAAAGAACAGAATATAATTTTTATTAGGACGGTTGCTTGAACATAATTAATTAGTGCTGGGTACAGGTAAGAAGATATGGTGAAAGCAATGATGTAAACATCAGAGTTGCAGTTTATAATGGAAGCTCCCTAACAGTGCACAATCTTTTACTCAGTGTTCACATTGTTGCAGTTGATGTCAATGGGTTCATTGTGATTTAGTCAATTATTTTGTATGCTTTTAGTTTGTGCTAAAATTATACAAAATCAGGCCATCTTTTTGCCATGTGTCTCCTTCAAGTTCCATTTGTTTACTTAATTTGTATTTTTTTTGCCTTAAGTTTTGTCATCTGTTGCCAGTTTTGTTTCACATACTAATTAGGTGTTTATCACTTCCTTTATAAGTGAAGTTTAATGTTTTGAAATCAAGAATCTGTGGCTTTGCTATTGTGTCTCTGCACACAGATTGTGACTGAATGAATTGGTAGGAAAATAAACAATGGAAAGATAGGAGGGGCCCATGCCACCCCTCCAGGCTTGGTTACTAAGCACTTCATCCTTTTTTCAGATACAAAGCTATTGTGAAATACAAGACAGCATACTATTCATTTTATTTGCCAGTTGCACTGGCAATGTATATGGTGAGGATCCAAAAAATAGCTTTATTGTTGTGAAATTTCTGATATCAACTTATTCAAACATGGCCTCCATTTTAAACCATAAATGTTAGCTTTGATATTAACATCTGTGCTTGGAAAGGACTATTTTTTCTAAGTGGTTAACTTTCTGTATTTGTAGGCAGGTATAAAGGACATAACATCACATGAAAATGCCAAAGAAATTTTACTAGTGATGGGGGAATTTTTTCAAATTCAGGTGAGGCATTTTGCATCAATTCTATATGAAAGGGAACAGTCATTCAAGCCCCCCCCCCCTCCCCCCCCCCCACAAGTGGAGATAAACTGGTCCAGTGATTAGAACAATGAATTCTGCTTTAGAAGATCCTGGTTCCAAAGCCCAGGGTGCCATCCTTTTTTGTGTTCTTGAACAAGAATTTGACTCTTATATAGCATCTCTCCGCCCTGGAGTAACTACAAGGTAACTACAACAACAAAATGAACAAGGAAATGTGATGGAGGATCTCTCTTAAATGCTGCAAGATCTTCACTTGATGGACGAAAATGATTTATTGATGAAAGTAAATTTAGGAGCAGAAATACTTAAAAAACGAAGAGTTTGGACTTTTGCTACCTTACATGTACATCAACTTTGATGTTCACAGGATGACTACTTGGACTGCTATGGGGACCCAGCGGTTACAGGAAAAGTAGGCACAGATATTGAAGAAGAAAAGTGCTCTTGGCTGATTATTCAAGCTCTTCAAAGGATATCTACAGACCAGATGCAAATTTTAAAGGTGCAAGAGCTATTAATGTAATCAAATATATATGTATGTATTTTTTTTCCAAAATACGTTTTTGAGTTCACGAGCAGTTAAGTAGCTGCTGTTGTTCAGCAGCCCACCCTCCCTTTCCCCTGTTTTTGCCTTCCACTGATCTAATCACTGTCTGTGGATACTCCAATCACTTACCTTGCATTTACTTTACGGCTAAACGTGTTTAAAGCAGTGTTTAAACTTGAGCTGGTGTTCGACGAAATCTATGTGTGCGCTTCATGTGGTTTCCGCTTCCAACCTACGATTCATTCATTTTTTGGACCTGTGATATACCCTTCTTTTAAATACTTATATCGACCAGCTACTTTGCTAGTATTCTCATTTTATTAATTTTCAGATTATGTAATGACTTGTAGGATGAGATAAGATTTTTCACATTCAGAACAAAAAGCCTAACCCTAATGGCTGCCTTCTCTCCTAGAGATTTCCATTGTACACAGCAGGCACTCGTAATAAGAAACAGGAATTTAACTTTGTCCTTTTTTGGATTCTTTTTTCTCCAGGATAATTACGGTAAAAAAGATTCTGCGTCCTCCGAGAAGGTGTGCAGCTCGCCTTCTAATTTTATTAATCTTCATATTATGTAATGACTTGCAGGATGAGCTTAAATTTATTAAAACCCCTATTCCCTGCTTTCCCTCCAAGAGATTTTTATTCCACAAGTTTGACACTCGAAATAAGAAACAGGAATTTACCGGTAAACCTGTTCTATTTCGGTCACTTTTTTTTTGAGGAGAATTACAGTGGAACGAATTCTGCGTCATCCGAGAAGGTTGAGATTTAATTAATTTTCAGCTCATGTAATGACTTGCAGGATAAGCTAAGATGTATTAGTATCGGTAATAACATGATTTCGAGTGTAATTTCAATTGTTGTTGATTAGCACGATTAAATTTTTTATAGACAACAAAATTGTGCCTATTTACATCAAATTGCACGCGAAATGATTCTATTTCTTATTAATAAATTACTTGAAAAAAAGTATCACGGAAAGTCAAAACAGACGAAATTTTGACAGCGCACGCGCTATTTGTAAATTGCACTTGTGTTACAACTTTGCACCCGTGTTATTTGAAAAATGCACTCGTTTTCAGCCAATCAGAAGAGTGTGAATTTTTTATGTGAAGTATTACAATTAGAACAAAAGTCTATCTTCTCTCTCCGAGATTTTCATTGTACACGACAAGCACTCGTGATGAGAAACTATATATAATATAACTCTGTTGTATTTTGTTTACTTTTTTCCAGGAGGATAAAAGTAAAAAAGATTCATCCAAGGTGAAAAAATTATACCATGAGCTCAACTTGAAGCAGGTATTTAAGGACTACGAAGAGGAAAGTTACAAGAACATTGTAGAACTTATATCGCAGAAATCTGGCAACCTGCCTGAAGGATTATTTCTAGAATTTGTGAAGAAAATATACAAGCGGAATAAATGAGCAGTTGTGCTCCAAACAAGGTTCATTATTATTGAGCGACCACTACACTGTCATTTTGACTGACAGTAATACCGGCAGAAGAAGACATAGGTGTGCTGGTAACAATTTCTCGCTTCCACCTTCAATTAGCTGTGGGAAAGTTTAGCGAGATGAACGCGCGGCTGAAGAGTAATGAGACTTTGCCTCAAAATGCAATTGCACGTGTCATATTATGGAAGCACGGCTGTGCGGATGTGGAGATTTACATGATAAGCTGAATTGTATACACGAGTTTTGATTAGTTCTTAAGGTCTATTGGAGACAGAAGTATCGATGACGTCACTTTAATGATGTTTTACGTCTTTACTGTAGAAAATAAATGGACTCTATGTTGCCGTGGCTCTGTTTAGTAACTGATCACGAAGCACATTAAAATTTGTTAAGAAAATCAGTGACACACTCAGCTGCGCATTGTGTGCCAGTTTCTTTCTTCCTTTATTTAGCGGTCACCCCACCATTCCCCGTGCGTAGCTGCTTAATACAGGTTTGACTGTAAGTTGCATAGCAATCCTTCTCTTTTCTTTTCTTGATTCTTTGTCGAGTTTTATCCTTATACCTCTTTTCCTTTCTCTTTCATTATCTGCATAAAGAAGCGCCCGTGAATTAAATTTAAAAAAAGAGCGGAAAGAAATTCATAAACGTTGACAGATGTTTTAATGCTTTAAATAATACAAGCAGTGAACAAGAGTTGTTTGAAAAAGAAAAGCTGTTACCGTTTATCCTTTTCCGTGTTTTCAATATTTCAAACTGTCCAAATTGAAACTGTCCCAGAACGCCGTAAACAACAGTGGCTTCAAAATTGGAAAGTCAGACACTTAAATAATACTTCGTGTAAATTACCGGTTCCTTTCCTATCTATGTGCATACGATCGATGTTAGCCCCCATACCGACCTGTTCGTGAGATGGACTAACTATAAATACTTTTAGTGGAGATCGCATATTCTAGATCTAGGCCTGGGTTAGGAACATACATCTCTGTCCCTTGAGTTTTCTTAGCTCAATTTTATCGTGCTCTCAGTTTAAGTATCGTTATCTATCTCGTACTTATACCACGTGATTCAGTCATGCCTATAGTTAATACACTAACATAAGGAATTTTACGTGAGTTATGAGTCTTGAGTGTTTGATCACTAAACAATTTAGTTCACGGCTCTTCAACTGTGACATTGCTAAGAGTAAGATTTTTGAATGCAGATTAGTTAAGAACAGAACCATTAGGTACGCTGCAATTTGTTATTTCGGAAGCCCTTAGCCTGATTTTACTCTGAATTCTTTTGGCACTTTTGGTCTTTCCTTATAAAAGCTTTACAATGCTCAATCGAAAAGTGCTCAAACATAACAGCTAACATCAAACATTTTGGCCAGCCAGCAGTTAAACTTTCGCTGTAACAGTTTAATACATCAAACCTTGTCAAAGCCCTCCTCCCCACTCCATTTAAAGCACACACCCTAGTTCTAAAATTATGATGTCAACAGCAAAGTTTCCAGATTCTGCAAATTTTATTCTGGAATTTTCTAGACCCCTGCAAGCATACGTCAGATTCTTATAGAACCTACTTGTATCTTTCTTCTACGGGGGCCTTAAAGGACATGCGATGTTTTTCGATGGCAAGTGTTATGTGTTATGTGCAAGTGTTATTTTTTAAGAAGTTGCAAAAAGCGGTAGAGCACGGTGGATTAAAAAGGACATGCGGGCTTTTCTCATCAACTTATCATATGCGACAGGGCATATGCGATTACCATTCTAGAAGACTTTCATAGGCGCACATTCAAAGTATTAGCGCTCGTCCTGTCAGCCTCTCAATGTTTGAAATTTCCTTGGGATCTTGAAAGATCTTGAAAGGCCCCCTAAATCTCCTCTCAAAGGTTATGAATAAATTAGAACAGAGAAAAAGTTTTATGTTGTCAAGTCTACTTGCGATAAAACAAGTAACTGTCTTAACTTTATGGCAAGCACCAGTCAACCTATAAACTTACCTCTTATTTTAATATATTTTATCAAACAACTGAGTAAATAAGTGAATAAATAAATGACATGTTTTCCAAATAACTGGCCAAAAGGAACGTTTCAACGAAATATCTTTTCATATTTTGGTATCTGTTTTAGTGCTATGCCGTGCGTATGGTGCATTCACTAATATTAGGAATTTACATCACACGAGTTATGATTTTAGGCTTTATAAGAGTTGATTACTGACCAATGTAGTTCACGGCTCTTCAACTGCAACATTGCCATGAGCTGTGTCAACTTTTTGGCAATCACCGGTCATTTTATAAAAAAACTAGGTAAATAGGTGAATAAATAAAGGAATGAAATATTTTCTAAATAACTGGCTTACTAACAGTTTTGGTACCTATTTTAGTACTATGCCATGCATACGTTACATTCACTAATGTTAGGAATTTACAGCACGCGAGTTATGATTTTAGGCTGTGCGAGAGTTTTGATCACTGACCAATGTAGTTCACGGCTCTTCAACTGCAACATTGCCACGAGTAACATTTTTGAATACAAACCAGTTAATAACAGAACCATAAGGTACGCTGCAATTTGTGTACTGAGCGGCAATGTCGCTTTCGGACAGAACTTTATCCCACATGTTGACACTTGCCAATCGGCCATGAAGAGTTTGGTTACGATCAAAGCCTCCGCCAATAGAGTCTTGCTCTTGTCCAAGCACCAGGAAGCCGCCAGCCTTAAGTGCGTAATTCTTAGTGGCGTGATTCGTTACCTGTTCTGTAAATTGGCCATCTTTATAGAGTTTCGTTACTCCTTGAGTGTTTTCCCAGGTGAGACACACGTGTTGCCAGGTATCATCATAGAGATTTGTCGAGGTAAAACTGAAAAAAAAAACCAAAACAAAACAATAAACAAAACAAACGAACAAAAAAACAAAAACAAAAAAAAACAGGACAAAACAAAAAGCAAACAATATTAAATATATTTGATCATTCAAGACCCCCCTTTCTCATTGTCGCCAAGTCAGTCAAGAGAGTTATTCAGTCTGTGAATCCGTAGTCAGTCAGTTTATAGTAATATGTAAGTGGCCTGTCAGTCAGTCAGTCAGTCAATCAATCGTTTATCAATGACTTAATTGTTCATACATTCAAGCTTCGATTCGCTCAGTGTTTTCATTCATTCAGTCAATCTCTTATTCATGCAATTACTTATAAAATAGAGACCTTACTCACAGTAGAGTCTCTGTGGCTCAGAGCGCGAAATCCGAAGGTCTGAGGCTCGATTCCTCATGGGAACTCAGAATTTTTTTCTTTGTCCTACGCTCGTGACAAGAAAGAAAAGGATCTTTCTCTCTTATAAGATGTTTAAATCAAAGTATCATCTGAGCTACTATTTTGAAAGCCGAGTCGATCAAGAAACCCCATCCTTTTATGGGTAGAACCGTGAAAAAGCGAGTCCTCGTCACTTGAAAGACGACTCTTGAGCCCCATTGAGCATAGTGATCTAAATCACATTACAAAAAAAAAAGGACCCGAATAGTTATTTGGAGAGCGCAAGGAAATGCGTCTAGATTTGTTTTGGTCAAAGATTAACATATTAAGTCATGACAAGAAAAGAGAAAGAAGCTTAACGCTTTCCGTTTGCTTGTAACTTTCTCTCTCCAAGCGTTAGGAAGAAGTCGATCGTACCATTTTCTGTATAATAACTTATTGTGGTTCGAATAAGAAATTATTCAACTGACTTCTAAAAAATATAGGCAGAATTACCGGAACCACTTGTTGCCGACACAAAATTGTGTTCGTGTTGGCAAAATTACGACAACCATGTCATTGCTAACTTCACGGGCATAGCTGACGACTATCTGCTTCCCTTGGTCTTGAACAAGTTTGATAAAAAAACACAACGACAACTGGCTGAGATCCGAAGCTATGGCTGGATTCTTCATGGCGTAATTTTCTGTAGAACGCAGCTCCGGAAACACCATAAGGTACTCTACAACAGAGGAAATAAATTTTTAGTTTGAGCAACTGCGCTTTCTTCATAGAATTTTCTTATTTAGAAGTATGCACTATTTGTATAAATGTTCTAGCGTTCTTCAAAAATACCGCACAGTGTTCAATTAAAAGAAAAATAGAACCCATCCCGTCTTGTTGCCAAGTTTTGAACGACCCGCAGTTCTATCTAGGTGACTCATAGTCTGCCCCTGCTTTCTTCGTAAGGAAGCTGGTTCGGGCTGTATCCTTATCAACTATCTAAGGCCATAATGTAATTAATTATTAACAATTTACAATATGAAGATCGTCGCATAGATGCCATGGTTATGGGTGAAGAAGTCAAAACACGAAGTTACTAGTGAATAGAATGTCGGACGCGTCTCTTAGCTCATTCACCTCTTTTGTGTTTGGGTGTGTGTGTGTGTGTGCGTGTGCACGAATTTCGTTGGACTTCGTGAAGGGGAAGTCGCTCTTGTAGGGCTTTTTATATATATTCGGTATAGGTGTCTCGGAAAGCTGCTTCAAGCTATCTTAACTCGAAGGTGCAATATTAACTGACCTATTTTGCATCTCTGCTTTCCTTCTGGTCCTGATGAACAGCTGCAGTCATTATCAACTGATATAGAAAGAACAGAGAAAATGAATAATAATGGAGCAAAAAATTATGTTTGTAAAAACAAGTCAGTTTGAAGTCAGATGACGATGAATGATGGCTCAGTAGGAATCAGATACAACAAGCACGCGCACGAAATATTTTTGAGAACATTATTCTAGAAACCAAAACTTTACCTTTTTCGCAGTGGCTTCCTGTGTATGCTTTCGCACAGCGACACTTATAGCTGTTTTTCCGGTACAGAGGTACACAAGTTCCATCATTTTGACAGGGCAACTTCGAGCAAGGAGACTAAAACCGAGAAAATCAATACTTCCTTTATAAAAACCAGTTAAACAAACTTCGATGACGGATCGATAAACGACCTAAAAATGGCTTGCAATGAATGAAAAAAAGGAGATAAAGTCATAAAGAGATATATTAACGTTGAAAAGTTGAATAAGATTTGCTCAAACGATTGCAACCGATTTTAGTTATTATCAGGATAAAATAATAATAATAATAATAAAAAAATGATGATAAAGATAAAGTAGGAAAAGAAGAAGAATTCTACCACAATACTGTAGTGATACCAAAGCTGGTTGGTGATGAACTTGTCTGAATGGGTGTAATGGTCAGATGGAAGCAGTTCACATAGCAGATTGTCAATGTTATCATCCAAATCTGCCAGGTTGAAGGACAAACATG